AAATATTCTGCTGATCATGGGACAAATACCTTTGCATAATAATAATGAAGTAATCATTAGATCATTACTAATAATCCAAAATTCATGGTGCAACTTCAAACGCTCAAGCAACAAATATGCAGCGATAAATTCTGGTGGCTGGTTACTTCCCAAGTGTGCAAGTCAGCCACACAGGGTCGGCCACGAATCGGTCAGTTCGTTAGTTGGAAAATTAAAATAAAAAGAGAGATATAATTAAAAGATTACATAGACGATTAAAACTTAGTCTTCGAACCTTCTGTTCTGTAGTGAAAAAATAAAAGTGATGCTCAAGGAACCCCCAAAGAGAAACATTGTCATTGTTTAGATAGATAAAATTCACTCTGAGAACTCTAATGCCATATATTTCACCATCATCACTTCATTATTTGCGGAGAAAATGCAGGTTGACGTTTCATTTTCAAATTTTGTGCCGGAATCTCCGCTTGTGAAGTCAGAAATTTCACGATGTATTTTTGGTATTTTCGTGACATTGGCTAGATAAAATTTTCGAAGCGGGGCTCCCACACGTTTCCCGCGAGTACACATAGTTGCTGCACCGGGACGACCGATCACACCAACGTCTCGCTCTAATTCCCCTACCCGAAGTGTGGCAGCTTGGGCTAGTTGGTATGGCATGACGATAGTTATAGCGCGAGAACAAAACGACGACACCTTCTTGTCTCTGTGTCGTCGTTTTGTTCTCGCGCTATAACTATCGTCATCCCCTACCCGGTTCACCACTATGCCGGCTCGTCAAGTATACTCACTGAAAATACCACAACGTATTTAATTTTTATCCGTGAGAAGCTATGTAGAGCCCAGTAGACTACTTCAAATTTTATGACGTCACGTTTTCTTTTCTTTTTTTTTGTGCGGGAATCTCGCGGTGGCGTATCCACCTACATTTTATTTGCCCATTTATTTTCGCGCGTTTTTTTCGCTTTCGAGCGCCGTATCGCGGTAAAAGTGGTGTTTTCGGGATTGTGAAACTGTACTTTACTGGTACGCGAAAAATCGTTTTGCCCTTCAGTGTCCCTTTTAAGTAGGGAAACCCCAACGTTTATAGATACTTTTTCAGTTCCGTAACTCCGCCGCCGCAGGCGGCCGCCGGTTTTACCCGGGCAGTGAGATGGCGCCACAGTCGCGAGTTGCGCTGTCGCGGGCGCACGTGTTGCCGGTGTTGCTCCTCCCCGCAGTTGCTTGGCCGCGTGCGCGGCTGTCATCGCGCTTTTTTTTTCTCGTTGTTGTGACCGTGCGCGCACGTGGTTATCCTCGAAGACTTCGATCATCTGTGAATTGTGACAACCTAGCACTACCGGCCACAGGACGTCTCGGAGCTGCCAAGCTTTACGATGCCAACTTGCTTCGTGCCCGGCTGCACCAGCGGGTACAAAAGCAATCCAGAAAAGCGGCACTTTTTTGCACCGCCGTCCGATCCGCAGCTGCTTGAAAGGTGGGTGAGAGCTATTCCCCGCGCCGATAAACTTCTGAGCAAGACATGCAAAGTGTGTGACGTGCATTTTATGCAACATGACATTGTGAAGACTTACAAGCATGCCATTGACGGCCAGGTTGTTGAAATAGACCGCGGCTGTTGGGCATTACAGCCTGAAGCCGTGCCGTGTCAATTTCCGAATGTTCCAAGCTATTTGTCAAAAACAATAAAGAGGCGGCGGTCGCCTAAGGATAGGGCCAGCTTACCCAACAAAGTCGTACTTGTTGCTACGCCATCAGATGAGTACCAGCAAGAAGTTCCTGATCCCGTGCACGACATTGATTTCGCACAGATTGTCGAAATCGCCTCGTGGCCACAGATACACAGCGGACTGGCTGATGGTCTGTTTGCTTTTGCGGTACAAGTCCGAAAGGCTACAATGCCCTTTCAAGTATGAGAGCTCTTCCCCTCCCAAGTACTCGTATGCACTTCTTCGCACGAGCCAAATGCTTGGAGAACAGCAGTGCCGTTCGGGCACAGAGAGAGCGCAAGAAGGCAAAGCTAGTTTAACGAACTTCTCAGTAAACCTGCCGACAAATCTGTGCCGTGTACGTGTAATGAAATGTGTACGTCAGTTTTCGATCTATTCGTGAGGCGTTTTCCCACCGCAAAAAAAAAAAAAAGACGAATAGCAGTGTTTCATTCATCCAACAAAATTACTAGTCGCCAAGTCCTCATGTTACGTAACCCCGAGTGCTATAAGTTTAAGATTTCTATTTCTTTTAGCGCGCTGAATTGTAAACTACTAATGTGGTCTTGATGCAATGGACACAGGAAGGCGCAGGGTGAAGCGATCACTTTGTCACTGCGCAAAACGGATGCCTGCGAAGTACGTACAGGCTTTTTTTCAAGTTCGTGAGTCATACAACGCGCACGAATTAAAGCGCGTGGCCTCTGTTAAATAGCGAGAGTAAAGACCAAGTACACTGTTCGCACAATTCTCACTCGGGCGCACGCAAAGGCTCACGCGACACCCTTCGCGCTAGCAGACGACTCTCGCTCTCCTAGCGCAAGGCGCGACTGCAGCGCTGCGGTGGCGGGTGCGGCGGCCGGCCGCCTTCTCCCTGGGCGCGGCGCGAGGAGTTGCGGAACTGAAAAAGTATCTATAAACGTTGGGAAACCCGACGCTCCAGCACGTTCGCTAGTTTTTGTGTTTTTTTTTTTCTTTTTTCCCCCTTTCGTTCTTTCTTGCGCCCTGGAATCAAGCAACTGCTTGCAGCGGTTGGTGAAGCCGACGAATGATTGCACACACATGGATAAGCGTCGCGACGGAACGAAAAAAAAGGGGAAAAAAAAAAGAAGAGATAAAGAAGTGGTGGAGGCTCGCACGCGGCAGAAAATAGCTGTTTTTTAGCGGCGAAGGCACCATTACGCTGGCAACGACATTCTCTCTCCACGACTGCAATGCAAGACGCGTGGCGGATATTAAACGCTGCAAATGACGTTGGGACACCATCGAGAGCAGACGTCGTTCAGAAGATCGTAAACAACACACATCGAAGCGAAAGAGGGAAAATTCTCCGGCTTGACGAATCCACCGACCCGGAGTGTTGCAAAGTGATTCTATAAACGTTGGTGACGTTGACACACTAACGTTGGTTGCAAGCACACATGGCATGACGTCACGTGGACGGCGACGGAAGCGTAGCCTTTGTCTATAGTGGCTTTCTAGCCACTATACTTTGTCGGTTGCGATGGAGGGCAGCGAACGCGGCCATACTGCAGCGGACGTTATCAGAGCAATCGCCATTATCGATCTATGCGTCATTGCTTTAATCCTTTCGTTGTACCATTGTAGCAATTTCTGTACCTTGACAGGGCGGGCGCGTGCGATTGACGGGTTGTGGAGGAGATCGAGTGACGGGATAATCGCCGAGTTTTCGCAAGTTACAGAAATACGGTACACAAATACGATACCGTATGACGGTATACCGGTCCACCTTTACCGTTCGTCGACCTTTTGCCGGTGAAGGCACCCCAACACCGCACAAACATTATGAAAAATCAGTGAGGGGTTGTCACACCTCATTGTTGCCTGTCAGCATCCGCATTGTTAAGGAGACACCTGTCGGTCGGATGACGCACACTCACTAGTAAGGAGGAGCGTTGCCGTACTGTCTTTTGCGTACCGCACTTCCGTAACATGCTAAAGCTTTCTATTCAGTCGATTTTAACATGACCTGAAGTCGCTTGTTCCCGACATCGAAGTTGGGTCACAAATTCCAATTCTATTCTACGATATGAGGAATTTGTTGCAGCAACACCTCTTTGCAGACTAGTTGGTTCGTACTTGTAAACTTTACTTAGCCCAACCAGAAGGAAAGGATGAGGCAGCTGTTGCGCGTAAAGTTCAATTTATAAGGAATTTGTTATTGTAGCCAACATAAGTTATTGGAGTGTCATTTCTTGTGATCCAAAACCACAGCAGGATAAAAATTAATGGAAGCATGGTTAGAACTGATTTATGGCAAGCTTGCACGAGTTTCACAATCTAGATTGAAGATTATTTTTCTTCAAATTCCTAAAGACAGTGCACAATGTTAAAATATGCCATGTAATCTATATTGTATACAAAATATAAAGATAAATACTAAAAACAACACTTATTTTTAAACATAATTTAACAGCCTGTAATTTAACACTACAAAACCATTGCACATCTGATTAAGTACTATTTCAGACAAATGAAAAATATCTGCATATATAAACAAATTAAAAAATGACGTAATTTTGTTCTGATTACCGAGTCTTTTTTTCCCACAAGTTGATACCTACTAAGTGAAAAATGTTCAATACCTAGAATATGCTTAACCAAATTATCATTCTCCATCTAAAAGAAAAATTTGCAGACAAAATTGTGACATGCACGAATATTTCCAGTTATGAAAGTTTACCATGTCCACTGCTACTATGCTAAGCGCATGAATTGTTATCCAGCTGTGTACCACCTCTGTTTATGATTTACACGAGTGCACAAGAAATAGAAGTTCCTCTCCAATATTGTACTATGAAAGTCCTCCTGCAATTACAGCCTATTAAAATGACTAAATTACTAAAAAAGATAGATAGCAAAAAACCTACAATTCAGCATAAACTAATATGTTCAGGCAGACACATGTTACAGCAAATTATGAGTATTATACCCAGAGATGCTTTTCTGGTTTTTTTGATGTTCTCTGGTAGAGACATAATGACACTAACTGCTACAGCATAATTAAACTATTCAGCAACTTTTTCTTAACTACATCACATTGCAATGTGCTGTAAAGTGAAATCTCACCCCTGCAGTACTGAAAGGTATCATCAGGCAGGATACTTTACCTCGTAAAAATTGCACATGGAGGTTGTCTCTTGCAGAAGCAGTCCTGGTGCCTAGATAAAGTATTCTTTTTAAAAGTGTTCATTTGATTTGCACAATGCTAGGAAACAGTTACTGAGCAATACCATGTAGAGTTTTGTTTGAACATCTGTGAATAATGCTGCCTTGTAGAGAAAAACACTCACAGCAATAATTTATTTGACGATTTCGCACAACCGTGACATCCAACTTGGTCATGACAGTGAGTGGTTCGATGTTTGGTTTAAAAAAAGCACACATCTCGTCCGATAAGCCAGTAAAACAGTCCCAACCATTCTGTGCTTCATACAAAAGCATGAATATTCTTCCCAACCCAAAACTTGCAACACTGCTTCAAAGCAATACCAACACAAAGCTATAACGTAACATCAACAGCAAGGCCATGCAAGTAATCGGCTTTCCAAGAAATAAATTCGTTGCAAGAAATTCTCGTATATAGCATTTTATAACATGAACATATGCGAGGTGCGTTACTTAATAATTCTTATGCAAAAAAAAGTTGAGTAATAATATATAAAATGAGGGCTTCAATTAGGTGCTTTAGGGAAGTAAGTAAAAAATATACAGCTATAACTTCAGATTTTTAACAAGATATGCTCTCACTATGTACACCAGGCTCTACGAGTGCGATTTTGGCAACCCCACTTTGCTAGACGTGCATCACAGTTAAAAAAAAACAGAAAGTCTGTGCTGCATTATGTACAGAAGAACAGCCGCTGTACAAACACAGGATGAGGAGAGTTAATGGCGCATCAAAACATATCATTTGGCATGTTCGACGTCGAGACGAACTTCACAGCAGAGTATCATCTATTTCACAGGGCATTCAATACAGGCACACTAGAGAGAAACATTAAGTCGACTTGGTTTGGTAGACCGCAGTTCTCACCTTTAGAAGACACAAAGTTTCTATCTTCGAATTTTACGCTCAGATTGCGGCGCCAATGATGTCACTACATGAAGTCTTGCATTTATAGCTTAATTTTTACAACACATTCTAGCCTCATTAATGCAAAAAAAAGCTCACACAGTTTGTTGGAGGGAGTTCCTGTTTGCGGTTGATTTTCAAGGATGCACAAGAAGTACCCGACATCCGAAAGGACTCGTTCAGAAAATTAAAAGTTCACTTTCTTTTACTGCACATATGTGGTTCACCAAGCACATGGTCAGACTAACATACAGGCAAAAATATAGCCATCTAACAAAGCAGCGTGAAGTTAATATTTCTCTTTAGTATTCCTTCTAGTAACAATAAAAACTCTTTCAACGACTTAAAAGCAAGAAATGCACCCTATTGCACTAAAAATTCGGTGTGTGCATCACCCTTTCTCCGCAAATGGCTGGCAGCAGAGAAATTGGGATGGAAAAAAAAAAAAAAACACTTTGAGCTGAAGCGAAGAAACAGTTACTACTGACACAACAAGTATTTGTACATGTACATGGTCGTCACACCACAGAGTCAAGAGAAAGAACATCCTTCCCAAACCGACATCAACGCCATTTGGGCTAAAATATGGAGCAAACATGTGCGTCCATTCAGAAGGAACGAAGGAAAAAAAAAAGGACTTAAAGACACACTTCCATTTGCCACAATTGTAGTCAATGTGCCGGCAAAGTCCTTAGGCGAGCGTGGAGTCCAGTTATTGTTTTGAGCTTCTGGGCAACTTGGTGCCTTGGCATATGGAAGAAGGAGAAGCACGGTCACTGTGCTTTCAAGTCACGTTAAAAAGTCACATTTTTCTTTTCTTTTTTTATCTTCACCCGGTAAATAAAAATATCTCGCACGTGTGTTGGAGGGCACACAAAATCACCATAGTATGTAGTATGCACTGTCCTTTTGTAGAGGTGCTCTCGTACTACAGGGTTGGCTTTGTCGAAGAGGTTGGCCTGTTCATGGCAGGAATTCGACGTAGTTTTCGGGCACAAGACCACAGCGCCCATTGAGGCAGCCTTCCAGCCAGCCTCTTTCCCTCGACGGCCGGACTGAAAACAGTGCAACATCGCTAAGTTTGTAGCCACTTGCATTTACGAAAGTGTACGCACTTCTCCGAGAACTCAAGCAATCCCATTTTATTTCAACATTACCCCCAGACAAGAAACCACCAACTTGCCCAGTTTATTACGGCCAATGATAAAACACGAAAAATGATCATTAGGGCTGGCATCCCATGGCGCTGGGTAGCACAAGCGATGCACGATATTATCATCATGTGATGTCATCATGATGTCACAAATTTGCGACACCATTTTGATGTAACTGTGCCATCACATTACACAATGGGATATGACGACACCATTGCATGACTTCGCAGCTTGATCGAAGGGGGGCCTGATAATAGAGTCCGTTAAAAACCACCTTAAGGGCAGAAGGCTTGCAGAAGGTGGTGAGGTAAGATCAACACATCGGCCGAGGAAGAAAAAGAACAAAAAAGATTGCTTTCGCTTATGAGTTGCCAAGGAACCTTGTGAGTATTGTACTGATTAGTACAGTTTCAAGTTTCGAGGACTCCTTCATATGTTCTGATGTACAGTTGCCAACTGAGATTTTATAACATCATTAGTCCCCTGCAATCTCAGCCCATGGTTTTGTATCGTCTGCCCTGTGGTGTAAGCTTAACGATACCCTAAGACTAGAAGGAACTGCGAATTCGTACAGTTTAGTACGTTTCTTTATGACAAAAGGCAGAAAAATGAGAAAATCAAGGAATTCCTTTTCCACATTTTGCACTTTGCATACATTAGGGAGCACAAGCTTAGCATTTTCAAAGTTGGGCCTGCCACTGAATGCACAAAAGAATGCAAGAACGATGGGAAGTTGTAAGCATGTAGGGACATGGGTACGGGAGCGCTGTTTCTGAAGCTCCCTACTGCTTTGAATTTTACAGAAGAACAAGCTAGGATGCAACAAAAAAAAGATGAAGCAAAAGCCAAAAAAAGCAAGTTTATTAAACTGTGAAGGAACGCCACATAAAGTGATGGGGCTTACCATTATCAATGATCTGGTTGGGCTCGAATGAAAGTTCAGAGTTATTTTCCCCGACGCACGCATATAGGGTTCTCACTTTTCTGCAGAGCAAGACAACATGGTTATTATAGATGCTTTGGTACATTAGAGAAGTTAAGTATGCCATTAAAGAATGATTCAAGCTTACCTTCCACCTGTGTAGTGATGGGTCGGAGTGGATGACTGACTAGACCTGGGCAAAGGACCAATGCAATTTAGCAATATTGACAACGTCTCGGCAGCTCATGGTAATAAGGTGGCTATAATTTTACTCACTTTGATGCATCTAGGGTGCGAGATGATGGATGATATTCTCTTGTAGCTGTGATAGAAATGTGAGACAAAGAACATTAGGTGAAAGCTGGCCTTTAAACTTTATTTGTTTTCAACATTTGGGATGCTGCTAAAAATTATCATTATATTTACATGTACAACTGCGCTAGAAAAATATTAGCACGAGTGACTGATGGTTGTATTGGGGAAAACTGTGGTGTCTTGTCTTCGAACAAGCCTACCCGTGTGTGGCAGGTACAATCAATATATAAAATCGCATTGGCCAACAGCACGCAGCCCATCCACAAGTCCACGTTTCAAATGCAAGTAGTGATTTTGCTGTTACGATCACCAGTCGCATGTGCTAATCTTTTTCAAATGCAGATGTAAGTGGAAACCACAAAAAAACTTGCAATTCAGAATGTAATGCCAGAAAGAACTGCTGTACTCTCTACATGCACGCTCTACTGCTTTATTTTGGAACTGGGTAGAACTGCAAGTAACATTTAATGTGCTACACGCAGACATTTGCAGAAACATCTGCAAATGTCTTTGCAGATGTTTCTGTAGTGCAGCTAAACCTGGATCCCAGACAACACACGCCTACCTAAGGTAGTCCTCAAATGGTATGAACATACTCATTTTATTTTCATACTTTAGGCGACGTTTTTAGTGCGACCTGAGGAAGACATTCGCAGGATGATACAGAAACCATACTTCTAAGTATTTTTCGAGGATAACTCATTGTCCAAAAAATGAGCACTGTAGGATATTTTGAGTGCATACTTTGAGTGCCAAGATCTTTGATTCCCCACCTCTCTCTCTTTCCTTTCAATTCTTGGATGACCTCTCATCGCAACTGCCTCAACAAGGGATGTAACCTCGGACCACCTCTAGTGAGACATCAGTGAGTTTTACAATTTATGATCACTGCCAGCAATACCATCGGTTTGAAATATGGATTTTTCTATTGCCTCCAGAAAACATCTGCATGAAAGGCCATTTTCTCAAGCTGTGTTGAGAATGCAATACATACAGCACAAACTGTGCAGTGCGAAACTTCCAAGTACACTTGTCAGCAGAAAAAACTGCATACTTCTAAGCACTTTACTGCAACCAGCAATGTTTCATTTTTTCTTTCTTCAATACATTGCACAAGTTCACTTTTACCGATTATCGACTGAATTTCTATCAGGCTGGCTTTCCCCTTCTGACCGTGCACCGTTAAGCAACAGGTGTTCCCTACTTGACATGGAAGAGAAGCACATAGAGTGGGCCTTCTACAAGCACAGCCTTGTGCACAGCAGCACTCACCGGGTACTGGCGAGTGGTGACTGATAGAAGCATTTGAACGCGAACTCAGGGACTCTGTGCTGCTGCTGTTGGAGTTGACATTGTGACTATTGTCCCTGGGCCCATAGCCTCCAGTGGGAGCTGTAACACCAAGGCAAGGAAAAACGAAACTCACTTGAGCCCTGCAGTGTGTCACTGTGCTTTGTTTCTGTCTAAAATGACAATAATTGGTTGCCTGTAGGACAATTATGGTCCATTTTTGCAGCCCACGAACAATGCAAACCAGCATTACAAATTACCTTAGTGATGGTTCCAGCAGAAAATCTAAGACACCATTATTAAACCATCAGACGATAAAGCCTTGAGCTACTCTGGTAAGAAAGCAGACTCACTGCATCGATTTTAGGAGCCTAGTCAATCTAATGGACCTAGTTACCATGAATGTGCAACAGACAGTGTGAATGAAAAAAAGGTGTTCTGCATATCCAAAGAGGCGTTAGCAGCCACTGAACAAATGGTTGAAATTTTGTTATGTGCTATTTATTTCAGTTAATGTTGTTTTACTTGGTTTCCTTTCCACAGTGTCTGAAGTGGATTATTTACAATGTACAAGTCTATTAAGTATCAAGACTGCTGTACATTACTGAACTTGTACCTTCAGTTGGGCCATAGCAATTGTATATTTGCCAATATAGAAATTAATTCTATGGTTCTACGTGCCATGCCACCATTTAGAACACACCTCCTCCTTTCTCATCATTAAACATTTCATTTTCCCAATCATAACCCAACGGGTTTCAATATTAACACGCACCTAATTAACCACGATTGTGTTTTCGGATTTCACCACGATCATACATTGCTTCCATGGCTAGGAATTGAGCTTGCATCCCCTACAGCATCTGTGGTTTTACATGCCAAAGCCACGATATGATAATGAGGCCCGCTGCAGTGGAGAGCTCCGGAAATTTCAACGATCTGGTATTCATTAATATACGCTAACATCGCACAGTACATGGGCCTTACCATTTCACCTCCACCAAAATGCGACCGCCATGGCCGGATCGAACCCTTGACCTCTGGGACAGCAGCTGAGTGCCATTACCACTGATCCAGCACGGCAGCCCAAATTTGCATCCTTAACAGTACAGCACCTTATCCACTAAGCTGACACAGAGAGCACTGTGTAATGTAAGCACCTTTTTCCTTCCATCATAATTACTTTGCACACCTTCCTGCAAATAAGTGACCTCTTGCTTTTGAGGAAGAAGAAATGAAGAGCAAAAGAGGATAGGTTGCGGGATAGATATCCTTCAGCCCGGTGCTCTTAGCCTGCACTGGGAGAATGGAAAGTACTACAGAAACAAAAGTAGGAAATGAAACGATAGCATGGTTGATGAACACTCACACGAGCAGTAACTGCACAAAAGCAGGCTACAGAGTCCACCAGACTTCAGTAACACTACTGTCTCTCTGCACGACATCTGAATGGCATATTCCCGAGATCTCGTTCTACACTTTCTACTGTGTAATTGACAAATAACACAAAGCGCCTGGGGGCTCCTTGCTCGTCGAAAGCAAAAACTCTCACTTTTTTTTTAGGCACACCTCTGTGGCATCATGTACATTCTGTGTACTACTAGTACTAACACCCCTTTTGCACATTTGACAGCAGTGTAAAATTCAAGTAACGCAAAAAGTATCTAAAAACTCTGAAGCTCAATTTCTTATCTTTGCCCTGTCAGCTGTTGAATGGTAGAAATGAGAAAGCGCACGCACCTGACCGAGAAGAGTTAAGAGGCGTGACGGCAGCCTTATGGGGCGGAACAGTAGGCAAGTGGCTGGAGCGGATTGCTTGGGTGGCAGCTGCCAATGATGCGAATCGCTTGACCTCCACGTGAGGCTGGGAGGAGTAGGGCCTCCCTGGGTAGACCCGCTGCTGCAAATGACACAACAGTGTTGGTCATACGAAGATGACGGAGCACCAACTTGATTTGTAACGATGTTGCAATGACTTATACTAAACATATGGTCTGTTGGTATAGTTACGGCACATACTGTTAGACCAGAAAGCAATGCTGAAGAAGCCCAAACTGCAAAGTCATTTTTTTAAAGTTAAACCTTCAATAATTCGACAGGATGATGTCGACAACTACCAGAGAAAATGAAGACTAAACTTCTGTTCACTGAATTTTAGACTGTGTTGTGTTTTACACTTTACATAGTGTTGGTACATCAGTATGATGTAATGCTTCAATATATACTTTGTGTTTGGGCTCTTTGGTAAAGAAATAACTCTTGAAGCAATCCATCTTGGGTTCCATTCTGGGTGTCTTTTTAGAATGCAACGCAGCCTCCTCCTTTATCAGTGCAAGTGAGCAGATCTAACTAGACGGTGTAAATAATATTGCTACAATCTCGATTATTGACTCTGGGAATGTGTTGCCACTTGCCACTAGGTTCTCTGTTCTCGCAATGGTATTTATGAATTACCAAGCCTCTCTTTACAAAGTGAGTGGCTGTACTGCTATAGCAGAAGTGCAGCCCACTAACTCTACGTGGTGCCTCTCGACACGAAATCAGCACGATATTCAATACACCTTACTTAGAAAGCTTGGTGGTAGCGTCCCACCAAACATTCTGAATAAGGTGTATATTGAACTGAAAGGAGTTATTGCACAGATTTGAGAATAATAGATTCCGAGCACACGGCTATAAATGACTACTCTGTTTCAAAAGTAGTTAGAAAATTTTACGGCTGTGTGGTACACTTACATGGTCAGATAGAGGCGAAGTGAAGCCGGGGCTGTCGTTGCCGTGTGCCCGCGAAAAGTGGTGCGCTGACGGTCGTTCCCTTAGAACCACTTCCTGGGGTGTTGCTGCGTGCCCACCATCTAATGACCGGGATGCTGGCGTAGCCACCTTAGCCTCTTCTTTTGGAAAGGCTTTGAATATCTGCATCCAAGTGTTTCATGGACCATAAGTGTTCAGCACATCAAGAGAACACACAGAAACAAATTTCTGATGAAAGGATACATGAACATTCAGATGGGGGAAGGCTCAGTGTAAATGGCATCACAATTATAGTGGCACACTCAAACCTTGATATACCTTGTAACGTTGATACAACAAAGTAAGCATCAAATTTTTCTATCAGATATCAGTGCACAATGATTAGTGCATACACTACCAGACATAGAAGAAGCATTTTATAGATGTGTTAACACTGTATCATTGATGTTCAACTGCACTTATATTGCTGTTTTTTCTGTAATTATTGTCTGTTATAATTGTAATTATTGTCTGTTAGACAACATTACAAGTGATGCATTGTAGGTATTGTTGCAGGTGTCAGAAACACCACCAGCTGAAATTAATGAAATACTGGAGTTCCGTATTAACAACAGAGTAAGTGTTGATGGCTACAGACATCAATGGGCAACAGAAAAATTGTAAAATTCCACAATGAAACCTAAATTGATAGAATAGGGCAGTGTGCCTATTCCGAGCTGTGGCTGTGATGCTGTCACTTGCACTCTCTATGGTGATGATCGACGAACAAATAAGCATTCTACCTAGGTTTCGCAACACGCTGCCCGTAGAATGTTTTTTTGTGAACCCATATTTATCATATAGTGACCCTGTTTGCAGCTTTCCTCTAATGTCACTTAGCTGTTGAAGAAGCACAAATTGAGAATAGATTCTATATATTTCGACTGAAAACAATGTGCAACTTTGATGGGCTGACATTTACCTTATCACAGTTTTCAATGAGGATTTCAACGACCACGTTGCAAAACTTTATGTCCATAATGGCCGCCATAGTTTCCTCTTCTGGCCGAAGTAACGTAGGACCAAAGCAAACACCCAGGTTTGACACAGTCATCAAGTTCGATGAAGCATAGTTGGAGACCCTGAAAAATTCAAAGAAAACCTACAGCACATGCATTGGATCAGACATATTAAGATTCCTTTTTAAAGGTTGACAAAGCAAACGGAACGCACTTGGATTAACTCGCAAAACACAGCAATTCGTTTACACTTCACTTGAGCTCCGACTTGTCAAAGCTATGGTCAGCTGGGCTCACTGAGACTAATTTTCAAGGATAGGTTTAAGAATTATTGATTTTACTCCCGAGCAAGTTTTCCAACATACGGTCCCTTGCTTAGCCGTCAACAATGCTTCACATTTAGTGTCCTAACCCACAAGCACGCACTATAAAACATATATAAATAATTACCAGGCAACTTGATAAAACAGATGCTTGGGCTAGTTGACGATTTGGAATAAACATATTTGCACTGCGCAAGACGAGTGTTTACGGCCTAACTACGCAAGGAAGAGACATGGACAGGAAAGAGCACTGACTTCAACTAAATTTTATATGCAAAAATGCTGGAAATATATACACATGACAGCAAGCAGCAAGCACTCTTTCCTGTCCATGTCTCTTCCTTCTATAGTTATGCCATGACACTCATTGTCTAGCGCTGTGCAAATATGTCGTTACCAGGCAAGCTTTTCATTAGGCCTGCGGGAAAATAAGAGCATGAGAATATATTTCATGTTGTCATAAGCCCCACTTGATGCAACATTCATGGAGTTCAGTAGTACAGCAAGTACTATAGGCAGCTTTATATTAAGAAAATGATTCTGGTTTTAAAAAAATGGCATGACAAACGATGGCGAAAATGCAGCAATATCTTTATGTCAAACCTTTCTGTGACCTTCAATGTGAAACGACTGTGCACATGTTTTCGAGAGATTGCCAGTGAGGTAAATAGAAAGCTGTTTATTTTTGCTAACTTTGCTGTAATGAAGACCAGACCCGACGGTATATAGCGACACAGAATAAATGATCTAGAATGGTTATTTATGCCACATGCAAAGTTAAATGGCATGACTATTGGATGAGGAGAGAAGTGTGACAAAAAGTTGATAGCAAATGTTCTTCCACATTTGAATATTCTAGGGCACAACATTAAAAGTCAGTGGCATTTCCTACTGAAAGACAGATAAATATGAGCCGGCACCGATACGTGCACAGTGTAGACTGATGCCACGAGTTGGACAGCCGCCAACTCTGCTGTACAGCTCGCAACTGGGATTATTCCTTTAGTCGTGGAGGCAAGTCGCAACTGGGATTATTCCTTTAGTCGTGGAGGCAAGTGACAGTCATGTTTAGATCGTATGTGCTCTCTTGCCTTGTTAAATTTTAGGTGACAGCAGATGAGTTATTGTAAACTTTAGAGTTCACAGATATTAATTGCTATTTAATGAGGGCCCTGATCAAAATGCTGGTATAATATTATAACCCAGAAAAGGCAGAAGTTCGCGGAAACATGCAAGCATGACGAGATGAAAAATTCATGAATAGGAGGTGTCGCTGGAGCCCTGTTTTAAAAAGTGCACATGTCTTCTTCATGGCTGCAACAGGCTACAACTGGCTACACTACACAGGTTACGAATTTTTCATCTATAATCCTGAAGAGCAGTTTGTAAAAGTCTATTACATGGACCAAGTGCTTCAGTGTGCATTGATCAGATGGAGCATGAGAGCCGGTGAAAACAAATGGCAACTGTCATTGCCCAGACTCGAGCGCTATTCAGTCAACACGCACTGATGTGGACAGTCCACTCGGTGAACTCTCGCAGAATACCCGCCCCCCCCCCCCCCCCCCCTGGTATTGAGTGTGCCATGCAGGAGCTGAAGCCCAGAAAAGAAATGGTGAGCCCAGTCACGCTTACTTCTGCAAATGCCGTATTAGCAGCGCAGCCATACGTTGATTATCGGGTGGCAGCTGAGAGACTAACTCTTCTATAGCTGCTGTCCTCTTGGCCTTGTTTTCTTGCTCTAAAACCGAGTTCAAGAGAATGGGATGTTAGTTTAGAATCTTCAGCATGAAACACAGATGATGAGGAATACAAAACTTACTTCTTTGAACTGACAATAAAAAAAGTCGGCATGAATAAATTACATTTAGGTTTACCACTAATGAGAAAATACGTGTCGAGATTCAACTAACTAATTTAGTTGAACAGCAAACAAACATGATTTACTGTGAGTAAGTAATCTCAATCTTGACTGCGAAAATCATGCAAGCGAGTCTCAGTGCAGCAACAGGCATTGTTGCAGGGCATCACAATGTTTCATGCATAACAAATTGTATTAACATAAGCCGGGACAATTAAGCTAAAAAATGCACTGGAGCATTTTCCGCAGCTAATTCAGCTATCTACAACTGGTGTAACTATAAGTTAAATCAGAAATCAGTGTGGTATCAATGTGTCCAGGCTTAAGATTGTTTAAAAAAACAAGTGTTTCTTAAACCTTTTGTCTTGGGCTCTTTGAACACACTGCACTTATACTGTCCATGCCCGATTTTCGTTAGAAGGTATTGCGTTGGGACAGTGACAGCTATCAGTATAACGCTGAATACTTCTGCACATAAAGCCCGCCTCCGAATTAGAGGAAAGGGAGGCTTCTGAAAACTTACTACAACTGTCAACACAATGAAAAGCTCGAGAAACAATTTCCATTCTACATACTCAATAGTCAATGATGAGTACTATAAGTATGATGATAAGTGCAACAAAATGGCACATAAGCAATGAGATGGAAATAAAAGTAGTATTGAGTTAGATATTGAACTTAATCAAGCTAACTACAATAACTTTCTATTTTATCATAATACATTACTAGTTTTTTGGGAATCAGCAAGTATTCCTTTTTCAATCTTTATGTGCCTTCTCATCACATCTATAATCGCTGCACTTATTGTAAAATATAACTAGCTTATGTTGCAGCTTGCAGAATGCTGCACCAACTTTTAAAATTTAGACCTATATATAAGTTATGGTCTCACGATATCATAAAATTACATAAATTCATTTACTTGACAGTCAATGTTGGCACGTTTTTGAAATGGGTTCCTCTCCAGTGTGTTCCAATAGCATTCGGGAGGCCGCAGACTAAAGTTTGAGAAACACATCACAGGATGTAGACTGTGACGGTGACGTTATGCAGTTATGCTCACTCGCTGGAGCACAATGGCGCTGCGTGATGCAGGCACCGATTGAGCCGCGAGCAGCCAGCAGCCAGCAGCGGGTTTGTTAATGCAGGGCAAGGGGACTTACTCGCTGCGCTAATAAAGGCAGTGTGCAAACGAAACGTCATCAGTGGTTCAGGCAGGTTTCTGAAAGGAGGCACACGAAATTATTGTCTATGGGTTGCGTATCACACGATGCATAACTCGCAGCACTGTCATGTCATTCAAGAATGCATCACCGTATTTCGATCTTTGCAAACGTCAGCCAGAAGCAAAGGGAATAAGATTACAAAGCAGCTTGATACGTTTCCGAAAAAAAAATAACATACTATTACAGTGTGTATGTTGACACTGTGAGAGGATTTGCACTGAAGAAAATGAATAATTAACAAAACCTCCAATGCAACAGTTCTCAGAACAACACATCTCAGTGAAAATCGCCTAAATGTAATGAAAAAATAAGTTTCATTACTGCTTTTAATCAATATCATTATAGACCTGCATTATAAACCTGCACATTATACATTACACACAGATTCTTACGTGAATGTATGAAAGATTCATAATGTTCCTATGCCTGTTCTCAGCAAAATATTGTTTCTTACCTTTCAACAGAAACCAAGATATCTGTTGCTCTAGTGCATGATATGACAACACTTAAATACGGAGGCATATTTGAAAGATCCCTGTCCCTACCTCATTATTGACATGTCATAGGGTTCAATAATAGGAATATGTAAAAGTTACCACAATGACAACATCGTTACTAGAACAAAAAAAAAATCAACTATCACTGTCATCAGCACGAAATGCACGCCTGCATATGAAAATCCTGTAGTATGGAGAGTATCCTTTGAATTGTACCAAGATTTCATTTTGGTACTTAATAATAATAGTGCGAGTTAAAGAACTTTACATTTGTTGTGGCAGCTAGACATTCACTACATTTAGGCATTCACTGCAAAACCAAGAACACCTAAAGGTTTCCACACTTCCAAGAGTCGTACTATAGCTTGTGAATGGTCTGAACTATGTCGATTTTATTACTAACTCAACGACGAAATTTACCTTAGCTGAAAGGCCCCTGTGTACCGAAATCTACGACGTTGAGAATTAGCAGACGTAGCCATTTGCTGAGCTAACCGTGCAAAAACGGGCATGTCTACACTATAAATCTGGCACATGCACAGCAGGCGTTACGATACACTTACCTAAAGTAATTCTTAAGCGCACTTGTAATTGTTTTGATCTCCCATTCCTCAGAGTTCATAAAATCGGGGTTCTCTGTTCGTTTTGGGTCTGTGCATCACAAAAAACAAAAGGCAAAAGCATTAGTGTAAAGAATGAACTGAAAAATGGACCAAGTTACTAGTTATACCATCAGTCTGGCATAGCGAGTGCTCTAAAAAGGACAATTCAACTAAAACACACAGAGAAAAAAACATTTCAAAAAATGAGTATTTTTATCAAATGCATGTAAAAGAGCCACTTATAGTTTACCACATATATTTTACACAGGGTCACAATGGTAGCAATCAAATTCTGCAAGGTTGTGACATCAAGAAACAAGCCAACAGTTTTATTGCGGTGACTCTCTTTTGCTTTCTCCTTCAAGGAAGCCAAGGGCACGCATGAATAAGTGATGAAGTAGTGACTAGAGCACTGCATGGGCCTGACCCGGCCGGAAAAATCCGTGTGCCGGCCCGCCCGAGCCTAACCCGGGGTTTTTAAATACGGCCCGGGCCCGCAAGGTTTTGGCCCAGCCCGGCCCGTTTCAGCCAAATATGCCTTCGGCATAAACGAAGCACTATCCAATCTTTGGTTACTCGGTAGATCTGCAGCACACACGACAACTTATAAAAAGTGTTTCGAGAATATCTTTCAGGGCCACAACTTTAGCTGTTTCTGTGCATATTTCCGGTTATTTACACTTGTAACACTTCTGGGAAATTATTTTTGAGCAATGTCAAATAAAATTGGAGTCATAGCTGGTTCTCTCATCTTCGCAGTGCTAACCACGCTACATTGTTTTTGCATTTCAAAGAAAGACTGTAGAGCATAATACCCCAATAAAGGGAAAGAAAATGCCAGACATTTATACTCCGACTCTATATATGTTGAAATATTCCCACCCGTATTTTTCCAGGGGGAGAACTCAAGTAAATGCATTGCAGAATGGGAGGGGGGAGTATCGTGTGAACATTGTGTAATTGGGGGTGGTTTGGGAATGTCTAATTGTTCATCATCATCATCATCATCATCAGCATCACCATAAGCCTGACTACTCCCACTGCTGGGCAAAGGCCTCTCTCATAATCTCATGATTTTATTAATCTTGTACTCATTTCGGTTTACCCTAAGTAAATTAGGTCATCAAGCGAGCACTCAGGCCTAAGAGAAAGACGGACAGATGGACGGACGAACAGATAGATAGCCTAATGGTTCCTGAAGCACGAAAAGAAATGATTCGCAAATAAAGCCACGTGTCTGCCAGACACACTTCTGACGAGCAAAGCGACAGGTATTCTTAGAATTTTTAACAAACATAAGGCATGCAGTGCACGCGGCCCCTTCATGTCTCGATAATGTAGCGACTATGCAGCTTGCGAAACTATGCGAGGCAAGCAAGTTGGACCTCTGCAGACACCAAGCAGAGATTATGTAAGCATGTACAACCTGTATACGTTGGTACTTTACAAAAGATGGAGATCCTGTCACCACTTTTGATGTGTTTTGCTTTTATTTGATATAAAAAAAAAAACGGAGTTAGCTAGGGGAAGTTGCAAAGAATTGAAAAATTCTCAGCATAGGTTGTCACTGGAGCCTTTAGAAATTTATGCCATAGAATTTTTCGATACAGCCATGACAGTGCACCTCTGCATTACAAAGGATACTGCAGCAAATAATCATCATAATCATCACCCTTTTTAGATCTTTTACTCACTTTAGCCGCGGCAGAGTTTTTATGTTCTTTAGCGCCGTGCGCTTGCACTTTGGCGAGGTAGTATATATGAAGCTGCCTCGCAATCACAAAAAACCGGCACCATTGGCATCGATAGGCCCGTCTGAGATGAGCCCCTCCACATCATGCACTTCTAGTGCACGAAAATAGCTCCTTATATATTAATGACTCACTAGTTGGCGTAGACTGGTATACGCGTCACGCAGCTGGAAACAGGAGGGGTGGGCGCGAGCACTTGGCTGCATACTCGGAATGTTTCCCGAGATGCGCGTACATAATATATACACTACTCTAGGCAATATATCGTTGCTCTTGCAGCAATATCACATGGTAAACCTTCCCTTACATGGTACTCAAAAGCGTCTTTTAATGGTGTAAACTCTTGTTAAGATTTCTTAATATAATGTGTAGCATGCTGATGGAGCAAAATGCTAAGCGTCGTGTACTGTGCAATTACTGTGTAGGCTAATAGACTTAAAGTGTTCTAAGTTACCCAAAGCCCTCATATGCAGCATTTTAAATAGTGTCACAACGCTACGTTAGACCCCACAAACCAAAGTAAAACAGCATACCCACGTCGTTATACCAATACATATGAGACCCGGGCCAGATTCGGGCCTGATGCAGGCCCGAAGCTCCCTGGCCCGGTCCAGGGCCTGATTCAGGCCTCACGCTGGCCTGGGCTTGACCCGGGCCTGAAGCTCTCAGGCCCGAGCCCGGCCCAGGCCCGATCCAACTAGTCATTACCGGACCGCGGGCCGGGCTTTTGGGTCGGCCCGGACCCTTGCAGTGCTCTAGTAGTGACATTCCCTGTTCTGCCTTTCTTCTTTGTTTGCTACAATGCACATTTATATATGGAAGCGCATTGCTACACACAGCCTTTAACAGAAATACTCGAGTACTAGTTTGCACTGCTGTTGGCTACATGCATTCTGCAAGGCGACCTTCGCATGACGTAGAAATGCTTTTCTTGCGACATCATTTTCGCTGGCAAGGAAGAGGAGATACGTTGCTCCAATACTCGTAAAATGCCTCGCCAGACACAATGGTCCCTTCACTCTTCAATCTTTACTCACAAACTTGTCTGACTGCAGTGTCAAAATAATCTGGGGCAAGGCCAGCTGAAAATGTAAGCATGAGGCGAAAGGGTCGACGCTCCTCTGCCAAACACAAGCAAAACCAAAGCGACAGTGCTAGTGTGGAAGTTGTATTAATCTTACTTTATTATTATTATTAATACTAATAGTAATAACAATATTAATAATGAAAACCGCTTACACCGGTAGTAAAATCGGTGGTCAGCATATCTCTAGCAAAATATTAAAGCCAGCAGAGAACAAGTCTTACCAAATGCCATCTGTGTGAGCTTTGTGACCTTCGAGTTCACACCCACAATTCGATAGAGGCCTTGATCCTCCAAGCCCCTTGACTCTATAGCTTCGATGCAGTCACGAACAAAGGCAAAGCCAGTTTCATCTAGCAGGCCTGCAAGGAACAGTTAGAAAGAGTTTTGTCAAATTTTTCCCCACTCGGTAACCACAACTAACCTTTTAAACATACAAAGTCCTCATAATAGTAGGTACAGTTACTCCAGTTACTACACATAAACTAGTGAGGAAGTAGCTAATGTTTGAAAAAGTAAATTATTAGAGCATAATGGTTTGCCTGTTCCGGGAGCGGGAGGCATCGTTATGAAATGCCTTCGTAAGTTTTTTCTGGATTGTTTATCAACAGAAGACACGGAACTACTAGGTAGATTCTCTATAGTATCTATCATTGATCTATCAGACGTTACATAGTGACTTTGAAAATATATATCAGCACTTTCACCACACCCAATCCTGGCCTCCTAGATGTTTCATCTGTCTTCTTTGGTTGTAGACTGAAATGAGTATGCTCCTTAGAGTACCGTATTTACATGATTTTAAGTCGAGTCACTCAAATGTATGTCAACCCCCCTAATATCGCTCGGGGGGGGGGGGGGGCGGGGGGGGGGGGCAGGGGAGGGAAAGAAGTTTTATTTTCGATTTCGATTGTAAGTTAACACCCCAACTTCTGATTTCGAAGTTATATAAAATGGGTCGACTTACAATCATGTAAGTAAGGTATGTGTTAATAGAACTTACTTTTTTAATGATGGCCTAGAGAGTCCCCCTTGTGAGCCATTTCTGAGACTTCGCTTTTGATTAGGGTTTCACAGGAAAAAGGCTGACGAGATATTACTTGACTGAGTAATTATCAGCCGACAAGCCAAGTTTTCTTTTGTTAAGCTTCTGTGCAAAAGTATTATTTTTTTTTCGGGAATTGGTTGCATAAGAAGCATGTAAAAGATGCAGACGTGTAATACATGAGGAGGTAATATGATATGCACAGCAAAATTCAGCTGCTGTGTGTATATTCAATACATGGTTTGACTGTGCTTTGACGAGAGCAGCTTTCACATCACCACAAACGATGATACTGTTTCCTACTTTTGTGGTTAAGTCTGCAATATAGCACTAGTATAACTACAAAGACGCATAATTGGGGGATATTGTGTATCCTCTTACAATGACTCTTACAGAGAGAGAGAGAGAGATAGAGAGAGAGAGAGAGAGAGAGAGAGAGAGAGAGAGAGAGAGAGAGAGAGAGAGAGAGAGAGAGAGAGTGTGTGTGCATGTGTGTGTTAAGAAAGCATGACATACGAGCAGTTCACCATGTGAAGCAGTCCGTTTTGTCTTGAAATTTCTCCCTAAAGTTATTTACCAACAGTATAGTACAGCAACTCATTGTCAATGTATAAGCAACAATCTCGCAAATGCTACAAGCTGTCGAGAGTATGAAGTAAAAAACTGTACATACACAAAACACATTATCAGCTAAATTGCAAAGCAGAGTTTCTTGCAGAATCTCTGTACTGAATTAAGCAAGGGATTCATCGTACTTTTTTGCATACACAGAGAAATAAAAAAAAAGTGCCCCTTACATCCTTCCTGCCGTGCAGCTCGTCCTGGTGGAACAGCCGTCTGCAAGCACGCAATAATGTATAGTATGTAGCCGAGAACACGTACAAGATCACTTCCACAAAAAGTACACAACAGTGAACAGTCGCAAAACTACATCAGAGCAACAGCTGTGTCACATGTTGCCTATGCTTTCAGGCGAACTGCTTCTGCAATAAATACTGTGTATAACAACACATTGTTACTTTAAATGATTATCTAAAGCAGCAAATACTACATATAATGCTCATGCTGGTCTGCCAATTGACATCACAACAAAACAAAATTACCTTTCCTGTCTTGCAGTGCACTACCAAAGTTAAACTTCATGTGCTGAAGTACACTCACACAAAAGTGCACTTGTCGAGTGGGCACGTTAAGTGGACTGCGATGAGCACACTTCGGTAAAAGTATGCTTTACCAAATCCAAACGATTAGGCTGAGTGTGATATGCAGAAGAGCATATTCTGGACAGAGAGCATTCCGTGAACACACTGATGCATCTTGGCCGATATTCACTTCAAGCAATTGTGAAGAAAAAGACTGCTGCGTTCTTCAGTGAGAAAAATAACTCAACCTTGTTTTTATTTATAATTCAATCAAGAACAGTCGCATTTCTGATGGTTTTCTTTTTGTTTTTCACCTACATGGTCGCAAAATGTGCCCACAGTCTGTTGCCATTTTTTCTTTGCTACAAGTGCGCTCTGTTTTCCCATTAAGCAACACATACTCTAAAGCATCATTGTGGGTTCTGTAGTGTACCTCCCATTACTGCACTTAACTTGCCCACTTGACACAGGTATAAATTTGGTTATCTGACTGCAGTATGAGATGGCTGCACTTTCCTTGATATTAGCCTCACGGCTGTGACCTAGACTGTAACTCCTTCCGATAATGTTTAGGTGAAACAAAAGACAAGCAACTCACAGGTTCCCTGCCATCCATGGCATTGAGCCACTGCTTACAGTCGTCTTCGCTCAGCGCCTGGAATGTGTATGTCAAACCGGGACGATCCGATGCCGTCAAGTCGAAGCAGAAGCGCTTGTCTATGCTGTCATTCATCCGTCTGAACAGAACAGTGCAAGGAGCATGTGCAATACCAAACTGAATATCGCTGAGGCCACCATAAAGAAGCACTGAAAGGATCTAGTGAGAAGAACCTAACAAAGATGACCCTTTCTGCGACGAAGGTCCTGAAACATTACTATGTAAAACATTAATCGATCAGCAACATCATCAACACTTTCTTGATCAGTACATTCCTATATGCAATTTCTTAACCCCCATATCATTCAAATATTCACAGAGAAATGACATGGCTAACATGACGAAATTCGGACGATTCGGATGCTCCAGATTTTTTTGATCCCCTGGAATTCTCATTCAAAATGCACCTGCATCCGGGCGCACATGCAACATACACTTTTAATTTTGCCCCCATAGAAACACTGTGAATAAATGTCCTGTGGTGATGAGCTAAGCACAATACCTTAGCTACTGATTCACTGTGTAGATTTATGACTGCTGATTCAGCACAAAACATGCATTGAAAATGAAAAGTTCGCAAATAGGACTGAAGCTTTGGCAAAAATTAATAGTCATTTACATAAAGGCATGCACATAGTTGAAATGCAATCTAGCCTTCAGTTCGTAATTATCTACCAAATGGGTAGTGAAACCAGCATCCACTATTGCTAAGTTAGTTACTGAATAGATAAGGTTTGGCAAGCATCTAAAATATAGCATGGTTATAGAATAAAAAATAGAAGATAGGCCACTTGCACTCATCAGTTAGCTTTTCCAAAGCCTACATTAATGTTGCACATGGCTTGTCCTGATGTTACGCGTTTTACAGACGGCCAAATGCTGCAAACGATCTCGGAGCCCCGTTTGAACAGGCTTGCCACTCCCCATTTGCCAGCACTTCCGATTGCTCAAATTACCAATGACCCGTTTGGCCACAAAGGTGGAGGCAAAAGACATTTCTTTCTCTTCAACAGTCCAATTTATTACCATAATATTTTGAGTCTGTTGCTGTTCTGGTAGCTTTTTACGTTTCAGCAGTGGTTAAAATAGGTGATTTACACCAAAGGCTACTGCATGCATACCAAACTGAGGTTAAACACATCACTTGACGGTCAGAGCAAAAGAAAATAAACATCAGGCCAGTAAAAGCACTGTTCCCTTTGGCAGCAAAGTTTAAACAAAGTTTGCTTAGTGTGTTTCATGAACTTGAACTGAAGATTGATGCTTCACCATAATGTGTATATTAAAATGCAATTAAAATATTATCCCCTGCTTATATCAGTGTATAACTTCAGAGTTCGAAAGACACACACAAAGGATAAGAAAAGGTAACTTAATACTTCTAGTGCAGGGGCTTTGGACATCCCACGATAAAACATAACTCAGTGCAAGTGTTTTAGGCAAATACTACAATAAAATATAACTCATGTTTGTTGAAACAAAAGGTGTAGTGTGTTACCTGATGCATTCTTTGAGGCAGAAGGTGTCTGTTGTTGTCTGAAACATCACATAAGATAGCAGGTGAACGTAACATAAAAATTGTATTGCAAGTTAAGATGCCAGTTAACACAAACTGGATGATGTAGCATTAGCAACATAATTAGCCAAAATTTACCAATTGAGCAAATTCAGTAGCTCAAAAGGGAAATCACATGCTACACACAGCAGCGTTGAGGCAAAAAGTGAGTACTTACAAGTTTGCCTACTGTCTGGGAGTATGGTATCATGGTGAACTTGTGGTTTTCTTTCTGGTACTGGCAGTAATGCTTGTTCCATATTGTTGTAATGTGTCCTGCATTCAATAAAGAGAATGCTTGTTTTTCAAAATTATGACATTGTGCCCATGCTCACTGAGTTGAGATATTTCTTAAGTTTGTGCAGGTATCGAAAAAGAATTGCACACATCTTTTGTTATGCCACACATGGAGTGACAGATGTACAATCTTTAATGCAGCTACTACACACTTCATGCATTTGTCAATGCACGATTTTTTTTTAATGGTGTTATACTCATTTCATTCTTGATCTCAAGGACTCCTTGTCTCAGACCAGCCCTGGCAATATTCAATTCTATTGGACCGAATTCTGTAACATCAGAAGACCATTTCGCAACACTATCAGTTTTCTTGAACATTCAGTCACTAACCAGGTGATGAAACTTCAACACTTGGGATTTTATAAAAATGTTGCTTATGCTTATCTTGTAACGATTTTCGTGCTTAAAGGCAGCCTCTCTACTACAGCAAAGTACTGTGTTGTTTTCACAATTTATCAGCCGTCTTAAACAGCTTAATGGCGTGACCTGCAAGTGTAAAACAATAGCAAGAAGCTTCAACGCAGTTGTTTTGAAAACAGATTTTGCTCGAGTGTTCGCACTTAATGACTGAAATGACGACACAGATGAAAGTATATGTACACATTACTTTCCTTTTAATGCTTCACATCCATAGTAGCTCTACTGAATGTTTCACAGTTTGCTATTAAGAAAAAAAGTTTTACCAAGTCTTTCTGGCTGCTTGTTTCCCGAATGACACAATATCCTCTCACGAGTTGACGTAGTTTTCCACCAACATGGGCGCCTCCGTCAACGGCATCACCAATCCCAACGAACTTGCTCATGCTCTGGCACGAGGGCTCATTCTCTGCCCCGGGAAAACGAGCCCCCTGCATACTGCTGGGGAGCGGAGTGGTGGTGGCGACGGCGGAGACCAGTTAACCACCTTTCATGAGTTATGTTCACAGTACAGATTAGGCAGGACATCCTTTTCAGATCCATACAGAGAGCTAACTAGGAGACATCAGATAGCCACCCGACTCCTTCAAACTAGATCCTTCCCATCGCCAGCCACTATGGCCCTGTATACGGACTTTACCCCTAGCTGCTCGACATGCAATCAACTCGCTACATTCCCTCATTTGATGTGGCGGTGCACCACTTGTGTGTTTCAACAAGTGGGACATCATGTAAATGAAACGGACACTTCTTAGAGCGCATCGCAAGTCCACACTTTGCGCAACAACTGCGGACGGTCCAGGGAGCCTGTGAAGCGATCGGAAACCTTCGGTCCCCAACCCCGTTGGGGGTTCTGCCCTTGGTGGGTTCTTAGGAATCTTCTTCCCAGGATGCCAATAAAGGTCATCTGTCTGTCTATCTGTCTGTATACTGGTGCAGTGCACTAGATAATTACCTTATCACAATATGGCTCACTTCTTGCAAACTAAATTATCGATTATCTTTTCCCTTTCCGTGTCAAAAACGAGAAAAGAGTATCAGCAAAATGCAAGCATAATTGCATAGAAATATTCACTAATCGACGTCAGCTGGACCTTTTATTACAACAGTGGCACTGTCTTAGAAGCTACAGCGGTGCAAATATAATGAAGGACTCACTCTTTTCCATAAGGAAGAGGTAACCTTGCCTAGTGTACATTTTGTTTAGGCAACCAGAATCCTGGGGCTTCTGAAGGAAGGATCAGGAGGAGGGTTCCACACAGCAGGCCAAGTGCACGAGCCAAAAAGAACATAAGAAAAAAAAAAGAACACATGCACACACAAGAATGCACACTCAGTACATGTGCTTAAAGGCCCTATCAGGCATTCGCATGCATCATCACGGACACACAAACACATACTCAAGCGTAGTGCCAATCAGCACTCGGTCGCTGCCTTTAAGTGCACTGCCGGACAAAATGGAACAAAAAGGTCTCTCATCTCGCCCGTCCTGCGTCAAATTGAACTGATCCTAACCCAGCTGTATCCCTAACCACGCTTATTACTGCCACAGCTTGGCAATCTTTGCACAGCAGAAGTTCAACACAGTGAATCTGATATCGGTATGTATTGCACTAATTAGAACCTTTGCCGGATTCTTTACCTCTTATACAGCTCTGCTCATCTGTTGAGCGCATTAAATGAGCTAAGCAACTTCATTTTTTGCAAGTTTCAGTCTCAAGTAAAACGTTCACTAGTGCCTGAACTTCCGTGAATACTGCAATCCTCATACATTTTAATGTTGCACATACGATTTTCTTTTCCACTGCCATGCGGAATGTTTTCAGGTTTCCAATCACTTGCTCACAATAAAACTGCTTTTACCCTGCACTGGCAAGTATGGCGATTCAAAGTATGCATTCTGGCCAGTGATAGAAATAAAAAAAACTATCGCTTTCTTGATTTTTTTCGACATTATAATTAAAATATAGTGTTGATAGTAAAATGGGAGAGTTGTTTTAAACATCAGCTCATCCTGATAATTCAGCCGTAATCAAGTAGGAAGGAGACTTACTGGTCAGTTTTGCTTTGAGCACACATTATTTAGGAAAGCTTTCTGCAGAACAATACTGAAAATCAAATGCTCTTAAAACCATGCAGTAAATAATAATAAAAAAAAAAACACTGCACAACATCAAACTGTCATGAGCATGCAAAGACAAAAAGAAGCGAAATATTGGTAAAAAAATAAAGAAAAGAGCTTTGCACAAGGTGATATAGTGCACTTGAACAAAATGAAATGAAAGCCAAAAATGTAGAATGTAATCAATGAACAGAATTTCTGAAGTATTATATATCCACTGTGCAAAATGGCAGTTATACACTGTGCAGGACTCTTAGTTGTGCAAGCTACTATGTACTTCAATGCAGTAAGCTTTAAACGTGTTTTCCTCTGAATATCATCATGTATTGTCAATAAATATGGAGGTCAATAAAAATATCTGGTGGCTGTACAGCTGGATAAGATAAAATAAAAAAAGATTGGTAAGCTGCAATATATTTTACTACAGTGATAAAGCTTAACTGTCATGACATTGTGTTTTGCATGTCAAATTCACCAGAACTGATTCATATCATTGAAAATATTATAAGAAAAAACAAATTTTCCACATAATTCAAACAAAAAAAAGTTCAATCCAATGCCAAAAGAGGAACCATAGATGTTCATCTCATACAGGCACATGAGTTGTAAGTAAGCACATCAAATTATGGGCATTGTGGGCTGTGATTGCAATTATGAGAAGTGGTACATTGAATACCTGTGAAGTGTAAAAAAAAAAAAAGAGCATAACAGATCTAGGCAAGAAAACCATGATGTGACATGACGTGCGAGTGAAAAGCCAAAATGATTAAAGTATAAAGCTGACTCAAAACTCACGCTTCATCAAAACAAACCACAAGGCCGTGCATCTAAAGCAATGTGCATGAAATGGGATGGATGAAGCAGCGAGTATTACCGTTGTACGCACCTCCAACATTTTCTTCATCAAGTGTTCTGCTTCATTGTGCGTTGCTTCGAAGTTCTCCCTTGTCTACCCGTGGGACAAGAACAAGGAGGCATGTTAGGCAAGATCAATACTTGGGGTTATTTGGCTGCATAATATGTTCGAAGAGAAGTGAGAAACGCACACAGGCGACTTAAAAAATAAAAGGTCCAGCCCTGCATTTTGTGGTGCCTCCTTTCTGTGTTCCATTTTGAAATGCCTTTTAAAATTATGAAAATTATAAAAAGCACATGGCACACAATTACTACACTTCTTACACAAAAGTCCTACCTTATAAAAACAGCAACCCATCACAAGGCTTACAGATAACATTAAAACAAATTGTTCTTGTTTCACAGCTCTCATATCATTAATTTTAAAGAAAACATAGCCCCTGATGAGAACAGCTTTCTGAATTGTACATGCAGATAGAGAAAAAGGAGTAGGCAGTGAGTACTCTTAGGACCAAGAAAGAAAAAGCAAAAGCAAAGCGGTTCCAAGTTCTGATCAAATTCAGAACGAATATGTTATTCCAATGTTAACTGTTATTTTTAGACTATTTTACCTATATCAAGTTCATGTGGGTTTTTACATAACAAACATTAATGACAGTGTCCATGTGAGGCCCCACTTATGCTTTGACATTGCAATGGTCATAATTAAGCTTGATATTATGCAAAATGAGCTGTTTGTTTCCGGTGGCACTAGCACAGTTTTTCTTTTTTCTATTGGCATTGGCACAAGTTTGTTTCTACTGTTGCGATTTGGCAATCACATTTGCATGCATGTTCCAATGTAGCAGTTGAATGTATAAAATAATGCTGCTTTAGATGTGAAAATGAAAAATGTGAAAGCTGTTTTATTTCTTTTGTTTGTCAGCATTTCAAAATTTCTCATTCAGTCATCCTCCATTTTTTAATAACACCAAACTTTCAGCTTTCTGTATTTTTGTAGGCGAAATACATTTACATTGTAATTGGCAATGTAACAGTGTGACGTTAGGGGCTCTGTAAATATATATATTTTTTTGCTTCACAAAGTAGTTTCAGCTGTTCTATGAAGCAACGGGCAACTGTCAATGCTAGCTCACCTTTTGGAGTCGGACCTGCAGGTCTGTGTTGAAGCTGTTGAACTCCTTGGCTACCTCATGGCCTGCAGTGGTATCAATGAAACATTTGCATAAGGTAGGGGCGTGCGAATATTTAAAGAAATTTTAAGTAACGAATTATACAGCATTGCATTCCATTTGGTACAGGAATCAAATAGCAGCAATAACCAAATATTTTTTTAAATAATTTTTGATTAATCAGCACTCAAGTGAAAACAACAAAGCAACATGTCAGAAGAGTGAAGGATTACCTTTCTTTTTTTAATGAGTGAAATAATGCAGTTCAAGTGTTTATAGAACAATTGGAGCTTCAGTCATCACAGAATTTAGGAGTTTTTTTTATTTAAACTGATGTGTTCCGAAGCTAATCTGTTATCAATACCTCGTTCACGACATTAATTCATGAAGCATTAACATTTAGGACTTAGTATTATTTGATTGCTGGCATATTCATCTCAATATTATGTGGATAATTTTCATGTGCAATTCACATGAAAATTTAATACAGAAATCTTTGCTCACTAAACGGTCATTGTAACTGCCTGCATCAAATGAAATAAGAAGGAGGAAGTACTTAAAAATAATATTGATAACTGAGCCACTAATTTAACACACATAATGTTGCTCACTGTATCCACAGAGCTGCAAGAAGGCTTAACTAGAGGCAGCAATATGTCATGCGGCAAACTTCACAGAAGCAACTTTCTCCATGAGAATTGAATTGAAGAATCATGCATTATTTTATGACCTAAAATACCATCAAGCTAGCACTACTTAAGGCAATAGTAATGTAGTACAAACCTTGATGATAGAAGGTCAGCCAGCCATACATAAACCTCAGTATCTGGCAATTAAGAGAAGAATACACAATCGATACCTGTGCACTGAGAAGATGACTACGACACGTACGCAATGTAAACAGTTGCTACAAACTGACCGTTTCGACGAACTCTGTCTTCTTGCGTTCTTGAACTTTCTGAAGGAGCAGTACATATTCTAGAGATGCTTTGAAGAAGTGAATCTTCTCCATTTCAAGCACCGCAAATACCTAACAGATTAACAATAGAAAAGAAAAAAAAACGGAATATTACCCACTAATAAAACTGCATTGTCTTGTACTGTAATCACATAAAGTAAATATAGCACTCCGTTTAATGTAACGATACAGGTGACACAAGTTATGACAACATTGTGCATATTTCGATTCTGGAAATGTCATTGTTAAAAAGCAACTTCCTTAAGCGTCCTCGGGCTATCAAATTTTCGATGTATAGCGAATTCTCTCCACACACATATGTTTCAAAACTGTGTACAATTCCGAAACGTCAACGCAAGGCCGCTATTCGTGACACCAAGTCCGGTCACGCACCTTGTCAGCAGCAGTGGGCAGCATACACATACGCAAGCACCATTTGGTGAATGGGCGAAACGGGCTAAGTCTAAATAAAGGTCGACCATCACGCCCGAAAGCGAGAGGCGGAGCGCTGTCCTTCCAACACGCCAGGTGTCAAGGCCACGAAAACGTGGGAGCGCGGGAAGGTGGGAGGGGGGGTTATTGGCTCGCACCTATATCGGCGCGAGACTGGGCCCGGCCTCTATCTAAAACAGCCAACGCAAACGCAGAACGCCGTCGTAAAAGCGACACAAACGGTAGCGGTTAGTGGTTGTAGGAGACGCACGCTTCGCGCTCGCATTTAGGGACGCCCATAACCGAGACCCGCTTCGAAAGGGCGACACTCCAAAAATGGAAGCTCTACGCAGGTCACCCCCGCCGCCGCTCCCCTTTCACACCTGCGAGAAGGCGCGTCGAACTGGCGATGCCCACTTACCTTCGTCGCGCAACAGCAGAGGCTGACGCCATGCGACGGATCGCGGGACTCCACCACGCCATCGCGAGAGAGCGCGTGCAGGGTATCGCGCCCCGCCGAAGCTTACTTCCCCGCCTGACGCCGGAGCAATGCGGAGAAGGCGGCCTTCATCTTTCGATCCTGGCTTGAAACGGAAACATTTTTATTTCAGATTCACACGCCGCGCTACGCTAAGGAACCGCTACGCGGAGCGGCAGTCGATAGCGTTACGACGCTAGCCTCGAACGACGCCGGCGCGATAGTGACGCCGCCACACTCAAAATCGAAACCGTCGGCGCGCCGAGGGCCAGGCGGCGGCGCTCAGCGCGTGTCGCTCTGTTGCCCGCCCCAAAAAGTATAGACGCACGCGAAGGCAGGAACGTTGCCTCAAAGGAGAACTTGCAAGCAGTGGGTGTTAAACGCAAAGATGGCAGCCCGAGTGTAGTGCTTAGAATTTCACGGCTCGCCGGACGCAATAACGCGCGCACTTTCCAAGACATCGTTTTCTCTTGCGCAGGCCAGCGCCTCCTCTATTTTATCAATGCCAGCCAGATGCGCCCTATACAGCCGTTCACCGCGCTCTCCTATAACCCTTTCCTGCTCTCGCCCATCGCCTAGCCTTCGCGTGCGCTTTGGGGTCATAGGGAAGAGAGCCCCTCCTGCAGTGCATCACGACGGGAATAAAAAAAATAAAAGGAATTTTCTGTTCAGTTGTGTACAGATCCGTGGGGCGGCGTCTTGCATTTATCGTGATCACAATGTTGGCGGTCACGACGGCGCTGTAAGTGATACGCTGTTTTGAGAGAGCGTGTCGCCGTTCGTAGCGCTATGCGGGCAACCGATGGGGCCGCGTCACGGCGACGCTGTTGCATAACTAGCGCTGTGAGGTGGCGGCGGCGTTGCTTCGAGCCACAAAGAAGGAGCACGAAGGAACAAATCTGACAGACGTATGATATTGAAGAGGGACACACGTCAATCGCGCCTCCGCGGGAAAACGCTCGCACGCACGTGTGACGCAAGCAGTCCTTCCCAAACATGTGGCGTCTTATGACGACCACTCTCCGAACTAAGGCGGACCGACGGCTTCCATGGAAAAGCGCGTGTTTGCACTGGCATTCAATGAAATAAAGGAGGCGTTGCTCGGGCTTTCACCAGCGCGAAATAGCTGCGTAGTAAAGGGCCCATCGGGATGACCGCTTTCTTGCACAGGCTTTGCCGCGCATACGACAAGCGATGTGTCGCACTCAGTTTAGCGAAGTCATCGGGGAAACCGCATTCATCGGAAGTTCGCATTGTAGCGCTTTAAGGGTCTCGCCAGTCCTAGTGCAGTACCTTATAATTCTATAACGAAGAAACGTGTGTTAGACGGGAGCTCGGCGTTGCCATCCCACAAGGCGCTAAGATTCCTTCCCGCCTACACCACATCGCTGTTTCCCTCTCGTGCGCGCATCAACTCAACCATTATCCACAAAAAAAACAAACATAATAATTGTGGAATTTAACGTCCCGAAACCGCGACATGATCAACGGAAACGCCGCGGTGGAAGGCTCCGGAAATTTCGACCTGAGCTTCCTTAGCGTGCTACTGAATCTAAGCACACGGGCTTCAAGCATTTCCGCTTCCATCGATAATGCGGCTACCGCAGCCGGGATTCGATCCCGCGACCTGCGGGTCAGCGGTCGAGTACCATAACGAATAGACCACAATAGCGGGTAAACAAACAAATACTATTGCTAACCTAACTACACCTAGTCATAACGTTTATTTCTACAGGGTCATTCCTCTACGTAACTATAGGGCCCGTATTCGCAAACGCTCCTCGACTCGAAACTCGACCTCAAGGGATCTTCGAGATTTTTTGCGTTGCAGAAATCGTAACGCTAAATAGTACTCAAGAATTCCTTGAGGTCGAGGGGCGTTAGTGAATACGGGCCTAGGCCGTCGTTAGAAGCTGCGAACTGTAAAGCTCAAGTACATTGTTCGCTGAACAACATGCGTCTCAACGCCTATGTTTACATTGTTCGGCGTCTGTTCGATCACGCCCTATTCGCAGAAAAGACGCGGCGGTACACAGGCCGTCGTAATGGGAAAGGAAACGCACCCGCGCGCGCGTGTGTGTGTCCCTGTGGTGTAGACAGCGGACCTAACAGGATTCCCGAGCCAATTACATAGTCGTGGTTCCTCAACACCGCGTGCGCGGAGGGCTGGTTTGACTTGGCTCACGCGGTGCTCCCGGGGGCCGGCCAAGGCACGGCCCCTCCGGAGCCACACGAGAACGGGAAAACAAATACCGCAACCACGCGAAGACTACACGTGAACGACGACGCGGTGAACGGGGGAAAAAACACCCGAGCTACAAGCGTGCCTCCCTACTTTCGTAGCACTGTCTAATAGACACACTTTCCACTTAACTGGTGAAGACTGGCATACACGACTCGTCAAACGACAGCAACTATACCATCCACGCATACAGCCCACTATTAAAGGAAACAGTCAGCCACCGATAAAAGCAACACTGTTCAATAAATGCTGTACTCCTGTCGGAGGAAAATTCCCCCATACAATCAGTAAGACGTGACTTTGCGCATATAAAAAGACGTGTCCGGGCTGTTGCACCGAACCGAACGGTACGTAGATTATTCTGCCAATAGCTACCCACGAACACCATACGGCCTGTCCTCCATACCACACTGTTTTCGAACACCAACCTCGTTATTTTGGCTAATTTATCCCTCCCCACAGTGCAAGGATCAAACTAGACAAAATAGATTTCCCTGCTCCCCCTTGCTTTCTCTCTCTCTCTGTTTTTTGTCAGGACGCAAGGAACTATCACTGTCTCATCATAAAGTTTCCTATATATATATATATATAATATATATAATATATATATATATATATATATATATATATATATATATATATATATATATATATATATATATATATACATACACACACACTACGGCGAACTCTGTCGATAGTGTCTATGGGAGCTGCAACGCTTCTGCGAGCATGGGAACGGCGGGTAGTACACGGATTTGCCTTAGTCGTAGTATTGTGCAGAACATCGTTGGCGCAAACTTAAAAGACGCCGAAAGAAGAGACTCGGAAAAGCGCACACTCGAAACTGACTTCTATCGAACCGAAGCTCGTCTTATGGTCGTAGTACTTTACGTGCCTTTTGGCTTTGCGAGGCTTGAAGCTGCTTTGCCACGAAACAATAATCGGAAATCCTTAATAATCAGCACCTTAATCTGTTATGCTTACCACTTCAATCGGGTCACGAAGTTGAAAAGGGTTCGTTCTTTCCTTCGAAACGAAACCAATATACAGCAATAAACGAAGCCACAAGTGCGATTCGCTTTTTCGCAAGTACGAAGAGTAGGCAAATCCGTGTACTACCCATCGTTCCCATGGTCGCCGTACGATCGCAGCGCCCCGAGTCCCCTCTAGTTAATTTCTCACGGGAACCCGCATGCGACCACAACAACGGACCGTTACCATCGCCCCCCCCCCCCCAAGAAAAAAAAAAAAACTTCGTGGGAGCTCTATTCGTATGTAAATGCGGATCAGCCATAACCACGCGGTCCACTAATCCCCGCGGTAACGCGAAGTAGGGCAACTCGCCTCTTTCTGGTGCGCATCGCCCTTCTTGACGGAGAGGCCCAGGTACCGCTCCAGCGACTGGCAGTAGCGGGCGGTCTCCTTGTCGAACTTCTTCTTGCGCTCCTGCACACAATGAAGGAGGGGGCCACCAGCCGACGTGACAATGGCGCGTCAAGATCAGAGGGGTACCTTAAGAAATGTGTCGTGCACGTCGCGACAGAAAAAAAAAAAGAAAAGCGAAGCACACACACAAGAGAGTACCTAATGGCGAAGGTGATGTATTTGTTCTAGTAATTGCTGGTGTCTATTAGTCCCTTCAGTGACCGGAAGTTTCGCCCAAGGAAAGTCGTAAGGAGACGCAGTGAGTCAATAATAATAATAATAATAATAATAATAATAATAATAATAATAATAATAATAATAATAATAATAATAATAATAATAATAACTACGCGAATGATACAACATGGAGACACGAAAAAAATGTCTCCATTTTGTCCCGCACTTTTAAATGGGCTCCGCGACCCTTTATGAGCATGGTAACAAAAACGCTGCCGATCGGTAGTCGAGGCTTCTCAGAACACGTGAGCCAAACATTTTAGTGCAGCACTCTCCCAGGAGCCTTCAATTAATTCTCAAAGTCAACTAGAAGTCGGTACCTCTTCTCTCTAAAAATGACGCCATATACCACAATTGCTGCGCCACATACACACGTCCACGGCCGTTGGCTGATTTGAACCACAGAGATTCCAATACATACACTAGAGGGAACTCTGGCGCTAGTGTCTACGGGAGCTGCAACGCATGGCGCTTCAGCAAGCATGGGAATAATGGGTAACCTAGTCTTCGTACTTTACGTTCCTTTTGGCTTCGCGTGGCTTGAAGCTGCTTTGTCGAGAAACGACACTGGCAAATGTTCAGCAGCTGCGCTTTACCACCTTAATCGCTCAAGCTTACCATTTCAAATCGGGTCACGAAGTTCGAAAGGGTTCGTTCTTCCCTTCGAAACAAAACCGAAGTACAGCAATAAACGAAGCCACAAATGCGATTCGCCGCCCGCAAGTACGAAGACTAGGCAAATCTGTGTACTACCCATCATTCCCATGGTCGCTGAACGATCGCAGCGCCAGAGTCTCCTCTGTAGTTAAGTTTAGGGAACTCTGTGATTTGAGCAAGGCCTCCGAGATGACGTGCGCGTGGCAGCAAACACGCAGCGCGCCCGCCATCTCGGAGGCCATGATTTGAGCATCATGTGCGGCATAGTAACCGTGGTCGCCGCGGTATGCCGCCACGTGCACGCGCTCTCCCTCCCGATGACACTGAAAGTATTCCGCGCCCTCGAAGAAAAAGAAAATGATGATTGCTTAGTGGAGTTTAACGACCAAAAACCACCATATGATTATGAGAGACGCCGTAGTGGAGGGCTCCGGAAATTTCGACCACCTGGGGTTCTTTAACGTGCACCCAAATCTGAGTACACGGGCCTACAACATTTCCGCCTCCATCTGAAATGCAGCCGCCACAGCCGGGATTTGATCCCGCGACCTGCGGGTCAGCAGCCGAGTAACTTAGAAGAAAAAGAAAATGCTCAAGGTCATAACGCGCGCTAACGAATGGACGCACCTTCTTGCCACCTGGTTAACCCCTTCCTCTTTCAGCGCGCTCTCTGGTACGAAAGAAGAGCCAAAACGCTTACGAGCGCGCGACAAATTCCTGCAACTGCGCGCGCACTTGACGGATTCAAAAATTTTTTTTTCGGCAGTCGATTCGTGAGGCAACGATTCAATGACGCCATTAGACGATTACTTGGAAAAAGTGTTGGAGGGCCCCTTTGAGATACACTGTTAATTTCGTCAAATTGGCCGTTAAATCATGGCGTAGCAGTTCGACATATAGCAGGTCTACAAATTACAGTCGCTGTGTTTTAAAAGCCCGACAGATGAAGGTCACATATAGAGTGAGAAGAAACACGGCGAATAAAACCTTCAAGAGGGCTTAGATATAAACATCTTTGTTCCCAGTCACACGCAAACATGCGCCGTGAACAGCTGTGAAAGAGCTGCAGAATTTCCGAACAAAGATGACGCTGACATTCGTAACTTGATAAGACAGATGCTTGGGCTAGTTGCTGATTGGGAATCAACATATTTGCACAGCGCAAGACTATACGAGAAGTTACGACATAACTAGAGAAGAAGAGCTCTTTCTGTCCTTGTCTCTTCTCCTGTAGTTACGTCGTAACTACTCGTAGTCTTGCGCTGTGCAAATATGTTGACCGGCATTCGTATAATGCGCACAGACCATGCAGCGCAACGCTTCCGGTCGCCAACGCAGTGTCACAGTGAAGATCGGCGGAACCTCGACGCGAGCAGAGCGAGTCGGCAGCACCACGTTGTGCCATGTATATACGATTAGCAGCGCGCGTCCTAAACTGGTACCCGCGACGCCCCGGCACAACACTCACCTTGGCCTCGCCGATGTGCTCCTTGCGGAACCGCTCGATGGGTTCGATGAACGTCTTGTGGGCATTCTCCAGCTGCGAAGGCGACCGAACGAGAAGCAAGAATTAAACACCCGAGATTTTGCCGGGCAAGGCAACTAACCAACCTTTCAAGGTCACGCTGAAGAGAAACATTAAGTCGATCCAGATGGGCATCTACACGTCACCGACTAACCCATTTAAACCATTTGTGTGCAGCTCAGTAATTAAAAAATAAATAAAGAGAGAGAGAGAGAAAGACACAGAGAGAGAGAGCAGTAGGCGACCTCAACGAAAGCCGAGGAAAACCGGGGCAGGAGCCTCGCCAAGCTTCTAACATAGCAGCTTTTCGCGTTTAACCATGCGGTGTTTTCCCCCGCAATTACTGCAAGGAAAATGTTGACTAAAATTGATGTAAATTCGAAATTTTCGCACTGCATGACACGCGTAGGTCGGCAAGACATGAATGAAGTCGCGATCCAGTCGCGCACGCCGTCAAATGCTTCCCGCCTGCCAGTGGCACACAGCCGCAGGCGGGTATGTGCCACACGTGATTGACACTTCATTCTACACAGGAACGGCGAGAACACACATGGGTCATTTTAATGCGTGAGCGTTAGGAAAAAGCTGACATCATGAAGCAGCGTTGACCCGAAGAATGAATGGAACCTTCATTAAAAAAAAAGAACGGCTCTGGGCCACAGTTTGGGAATATGGAAGGGATTATTTACTAAGTGCACAGCGTGATCATACCAAGATAAAACCCGACAAATGCAAAGAATAAATGTCAAGGGCCAGGCAGGAATCGGACAACAGCATTGTGCGGCAACGAAGTATTCTATACCGCGGAGCCACGCCAGGACATGTATGTATACTTTTTCAAACAGATCTATAATGTCCGTGAAACGTCAATTGTTGTGGTAGTGCTGGCTATCCAATTTTATAAACATTACATGTGTACTCCTGGGATAGAGCCGTCACGTCGGGTTAATGGCAATTGTAGTTAATTAGGTACCAGGCGCTGAAGTTGATTTATGTAGTAGCGTCCAGGGCTAGCATCCTCGCGAGCACCAGCGCTTCATATCAGCTTCTGATGTCGTTAATATCCATGTTGCTGTTGGCGTCGTTACGCAACTGTAAACAACTGGCTATATAAAACATATGCGGCTGTTTAACGCATGTCTGTGCATGAATTTGTTCATATCTCAAGCGCCACTTCGTAACGTTTCGCTCAATACAAAAACTACAATACAGTCACCTTCCGTGCGCATGCTTCGCATAACATCAATTCCCAAGGCGCGAGGGATTTGCCGAATTTTTTTCGGATCGTGTGTGTAGTTGTGTCTCTAACGCCAATATCTCACATGATCGGTGCTCCACGATACGCCTTTTGATCTTGTTGTAGCTTCAAATACGAATTATCAGAGGTTGCAATCTAGTAAAGATGTTTCTATGAAATACGCGACTCGCACGACATATTTCTGTCAAGAAAGTTCCGTGAAAGAGTTTGTGGCGGGAGGTCCTGGCACTCCCCCCCCCCCCCCCCCCTCTCATCTGACGCCACTTCTGATCAATAATCATTGAGGTGGCGCATGAACGCTAGTCCGTTGAGATCAAGGAGCTTGGTTGAGATCGGTGTGGATATGCTTGAGTACAACCGTGAGACGATACAAGACTGATGGTAATGCTGATAGGACTATATTCCAGCAATAAGCGATGGAGCTCTTTCAGACTCACTCAAGAGATACATATTGAGCACAGGGTTCACGGACCCACGGCTCCATTTGAACCTGAGTGAGTCGACTCATGAATGTGACGTCGTGAATCCACGTATACGTCAGCACAGCGAAACGCGCATGAGCAGTGTTTAATTTTCACAGCATACCGTGGAATTTGCGACGTGCGACTATGGTGAACGGCGCAGAGATTATGGGGCGAAATTCACAAGAAAGAAGCTTTTTTTTTCTTCCCCTTTTATTTTTTTTTCGCATCAAAGTGTGAACGAACACACGTTTGAACACTTCGTTGGTGTTCAGCATCACATTAGACATGCTCGTTCTCAATAATCTGTCACATAGAAGTGTCCACGATATAGAGGATTCTGCAAACGCTAAGAGACGGTTATTGGAGAACAGGTGCTGCCTGCGTTGGCGAATATCGCGCAGGGCTGATGTACCGACCGTTTATATAGTACGTACGTGCACGCACGCCAAAGAATACAGTATACAGCGCTGCCACGTACGTGCATACATCAAAGATTTATTTTCTACCAATAACTGTTGGGGATTTACATAGTACCAACACCACGATATAAGTATGAGGGACGCCGTAGAGGACCATCAGGCGTTAAAGGGACACTAAAGACAACTATTAAGTCAACGTTGATTGTTGAAATAGCGGCCCAGAAACCTCGTAGTGTTCTTTTTGTGCCAAGGAAGAAATTATATTGAAATAAAATCACGCTTTAGTGGCCCACATCAGGTTAGCGCACTTCAAATTACCCGCCTCAAGAAGCGAACCGACTCACGTCACTGTTGCCGTGCGCAACGGCTTTACTGCGCGGTCGCCGACACTAGTAGACGGAACGAAAGCAGCGGGAGCCACAGCAGCAAAGGCCATTGATCAATTTCCCGCCATTGGCTCCGAGATGGCAGACGTGTTTTGGTTCAACTACGCCCCGCTAATCTGTCTAGTGTAACCACGCGAAAATTGAATGTTTGAAACACTTGCGCCATTCCCCATAGTAACGTACGGCGGTTCTTACTCCCACGAATGAAACAGAAACGAACAAGCAGCGTTTTATTGCGTCTTTCGATGCCCGGGAAGTTGTTTATTTAGTGCAGCTAGATTGATTACTAGTGATTAATTGTAGGCGGTTCGTCGGACGTCGTCGGTATCATTTTGAGGATGTCCTATACTGCGGCGAATGTATTCTTGTGCATTAACCGCAATTTCTCGGTAAGTAGGGCACTTGTCTTCACAATATTGTCGTTTTAGATGTGGTAATACGTTAAGCTTTCACTTTGACGTAAATTGTTATTTGACTTTAGTGTCATTTTACTGTACACCTAAATCCGAGCACACGGACCTCCAGCACTTCGCCTTTATCGGAATGCGATCGCCACGACCAGAATTCAATCTCACGACTTTCGGATCAGCAGACAAGCACCATAAGACCACCGCGACGGGCGTGTATGTTTCATGCACATATCCGAGCGGACAAGTATCACAGCGAGTGATAAAAGTGTCCCGAGACAACGGAGGAATGCGCGAGCAGACCAAAAGCTGGCGATATCGCCATCTTTATAGGCATCCTGCATGCGCACACAAAGAGAGATTGGCATATCTTATATACGCTTTTCGTTCGCCCCTAAAAGACGTTTTGGAGGAAGTGATAGATATATCAGCGAAACTTAAAACGACGCCGGAAAAGCATAGACGCGCGAAACGAGAAATACCAAATGTTTGCTGTATACAACAGCAGGTGCCTGTCGGCATTATTACCATGTGAGTGCAGCGAAAGCTCCCTAAATTGCATCAGTTAGTTGCGCCGCGCGATTCGCGTATTAGGGAGGACAAAAACGTGACATTTACGAATATTCATTTTCGTCTGCGTTGAATGAAGCAACCATTATCGCATGCCCCGCCGCGGTGGTCTAGTGGCTAAGGTACTCGGCTACTGACCCGCAGGTCGCGGGTTCGTATCCCGGCTGCGGCGGCTGCATTTCCGATGGAGGCGGAAATGTTGTAGGCCCGTGTGCTCAGATTTGGGTGCACGTTAAAGAACCCCAGGTGGTCGAAATTTCCGGAGCCCTCCACTACGGCGTCTCTCATAATCATATGGTGGTTTTGGGACGTTAAACCCTACATATCATCATCATCATCAACCATTATCGCATAGATCAGGGGGTTTCCAAGGGTGCTCCGATGCACTCGACGGGCCTTCTCGCTCAGCGCCGTACACACTGATTCTAAGAATTTTGACTTTGGGCGAGGTGGCATCTTGCAGAACATTTCGTAACTGGCACTATACTAGAAACGCAAAAAAAAAAAAAAAAAACACCATTCCGAGTATAGGGCCTGTTACGAAACGTTCGGCAAACAAACTGGCTGTACGCCGGAAGCGTGCATCAAGTTCGCCTCGTAGTTCGACGAGGACGGATTCTCGCTGCAATCCGCGCCTCTGTCCAAATGTGACCCGACCAGGAGACGCTGTGGGAGGGTGTGAGGTGTCGCCACCAAAAACATAGGCGCCAGTCACGTAGGCAGTGGAGCGAGCAATGCGCACGTCAGAAGGCGTGTCATTTGCAGCAGGCTCGCTGATAAGGGTGACTACACCCCCGTGTCGTGGGCTGCACTTGTACAAAGTACGACCAACGGCGAAGTCCCTCCTGCAGCTGCGCACTGTATAGCTCCCCCGAGGATTTAATGACCGATGATGGTGCGATGCAAAGTTAAAGTGACGTATTACTACTACTACTACTACTACTACTACTACTACTACTACTACTACTACTACTACTACTACACACACACACGCACACATCGTTTTCATCGGCAGCGAAGAAAATCTTCGACTACCAAAAAACGCCATCCTATCGGCGTTTTTTCGCCATTTCTCTAATACTATTTGTACTATCACGCGGCGGCTGGGACTTTTATTGAAAAATATTACATCGCACGGAATCTAAATGCCAGAAAACTAGCCGTAACAGTAAATGTATGAGTTGGTATATATATATATATATATATATATACCATATACCATATATATATATATATATATATATATATATATATATATATATATATATATATATATATATATACTATAGCACTCAAAAGTAACAGCAAACGGGACGCCCTGTAAGCGTAGACGTCTGCAACAGTGAACCTCATCACAAGCACGAAGACACCGCCCCCATCGCCTCCTCATTAGCATGCCACGGCGAAATAAGAAGCGGTGATGTCGCCTCCCAACTCCACTCCATGACACTGCAGCCCTACACAGTTTATTAGGCAAACACTGAATCAGAAATTTCAATCACTGCCTTCGCCCCACCATGTTTGAAAGTTCAAACTAATGAAATACTTTTTGGGATTTTATGTTCCGAAACCACCATATGATTATGAGAGACGCCGTAATGGAAGGCTCCGAAATTTTCGACCACCCATGGCGTTCTTTAACATGCACCTAAATCTAGCTACATGGGTCTCTAACATTTCACCTCCATGGAAACGGAAGGCATGCATCGAAATTTCGATATTCGATCCCCACAACCTGTGTTCAAAGTTCTAATTAGCATTTAAGGTCCTTTGTGGGACGGCGTATATTCAAACACCGTTAAGCAGCGCGTGCATGCTTAGCTCCGTATAGTGAAAGCGACAACCATCGACAACCATATTACGCTGCATGACAACAACAGGCTCACCATGCCAATTCCTGATATTCGAGAACACAAAGGGGTCATATCCTGACCCCCCCCCCCCCCCCCCCCCACACACACACTTGTGTCTACAACAGATATGCCAAGTTTAATTTAACGGTGTAAGCAAGTACAAAGCACCAGCGGCAACTGTCGAGACTGCGGTCGAAGCACTGCGAGTTTGGGTAATGATTCGGCGATAGATGGAGCTGCTCCGCGACACCTCGTCACGCGGGCCTGCGTCATCGCACGCCAGGTTATCGCCACTTCCTGCAGGCGTTACGTAACGGTGAGCTGGCAGTGCGTCCTCCCGTAGTACTTCGTGTTTCGGGCCGGGCACAGTGGTGGTGACGTGTTCAAACGCAACAGCTTCAACAACTTCGCAAATATTTCCCCTGCGAATACTGGTGAAAAAAAAAAAGACTGTTTTCGCGATTGCTCGCACGTTACACTGTCCGGCTATACGCTGCGTTGTTTCGCCCACCGGGCTAAAGCGTTGGATTACACGCTTCGGAACAATAATCATGCAGCAAGTAGCACTAACACGAACTAATCACACTTACCAGAAAACTTAAGCAATAATTTAACACCGATTTGCTGGATTATCCCGACGAAGGAAAACGGAACGGAGGAGGCGTATTCACGAACATAAAAACTGATTTGGGTTTAACGTCCCAAAACCAACATACGATTATGAAAGACGCCGTAGTGGAGGGATACAGATATTTTGACCATCTGGGGTTCTTTAACGAGCACCCAAATCTGGGCACGCTGGCGTACAGCAGTTTTTCCTCCACCGAAAATGCAGCCGCCGCAGCTGGGATTCGATCCCGCGACCTGCGGGTCAGCAGCCGGGTACCTTAGCCACTAGACGCGCACGACCGTAAACATTAAAAGGCAGCGTGCATTCTAATTCCGGTTTCAACATTTTCCTTCAAACGACTGCGATTTGCCTACTTATAGCTGTGATTCTAGCTAGATGTAGGAAACCTGCTATGGCTGATTCGCTATTGTCCACCAACTACAAATTCGAATAGGGGAACCAAATTTAAGCTTGATCAATAAGTTACAGTGTTCCGATCAATCGAACATTCCAGTGTTCGCAAGAGCAGCGGTCTACGCAACTCGCAAGCGTAACAAACGAGCCACCCGTAACAACTAAATCACGTGACAAAGGAAAAAACATGACATGTCATGAAAAACATGACAAAAGAGTCACCGACGTTGGAACGAAATAGATCGCTGCCTGATGAACGCACGACTTGAATACAAAAGAAACAGGACCTTAAAAATGACAAGTCGTCACCGTCTTAAGACAACGCATTCTTTATCTTAACCAAAGTACAGAGTGAGTGGAAGGGGGTAGAGAGGGCACGCAGTACGTAACGCTTTTCTACAAAGGTGACAGCCCTCTCGCTAGAAGGCGCAAACATACAATCGAAACTTCGTGACCCGGGCTTCACCGAACATATTTCCACCGAGCATCGAGAGGCACGATCGCAGGAACTTCCAAGGATGATTTCTGCGAGCGAAAACTATCCAGCGTCGTGACCGCTGAACGTTTCCACAGACTGCAGCTGCGCAATCGCTCTCCAAGATCTCGGAATCGCACACATTCACGCGTGTCGTTGCTTCGAAACGCAAAAAAAAAAAAAGCGAACAAGCGTATCCCACAACGTGTGGTGGTCCCCCCCCCCCCCCCCCCCCGCGTGCAACGTGAGCTGGTGGAAAACTCCACGCCCTAACTGTACCAGCCCACGCAGGAGCGCAGCGCGTTGTGGAAGAGAGAGGAGGCAACCGAAAAAACACCGCGAGGACGCATATTCGAACGATTTTTAAAAAGCGGTGCCGGGTTCGGTGCGTGGGATTACACGCGCGGGCTGCTTATACACCACAAGCCTGGCTGTCGCACGAAACTAGGCACAGAACTAACAAATTCCGGTGTCACGTGCGAAAACCGCGATATGAATACGAGGCGCGCGCGGCAGTGAGGGAGTTCGGATTAATTATGAGCACCCTCAGGGGTTCTTCAACGCGAACCTATAGATGTAAACGTATACACCACACACGGGTTTTTTCGTTGCATTTCACCCCCCGATCGAAAAGCGGCCGCCGTGGGCCGGCAATCCAACCCACATACTCGTGGCCACCGTCGCTCGGCCATCACGAGGCGTATCGCTGCACGGAACTCGGCGATGAGCGAGTGGGAAGCGCAGCAGATACAAGCGATGCGGAGAAGAAGAAAAACAAAACAAACAAAACAAAACAAAAAAAAAAAAACGCCGGGCGGCCGCGCGTGCCCTTGGCACCCGCGCGATTTAATTTTTCTGTATTTTTTTTTCGCGCCCGTCGCAAAGGAAATGGGACAGGAACTGGAGGTACGGAATCTAGCTTTCGAGCGAATCGGGTCGGTTCACATATGTAAACACACATATATACGAACGTCTGGTTTTGTGTTAGTCACGCCGTAAAGTAGTGCGACGCGCGGTCCACCGAGGCCTTAGGCAGACGTGCCATCCCTGCTGCTTTCTTCTTTGACCCAGGCCTGTTCAGGCTTACCAGTCGGTGCAAGATAAACAAAACAGCTATCTCTCTCTCACCCACACACACACACAAAGAGCAACGCGCAGCGGTAATGTTCCTGTACGCGCAGTCTGCAAATGAACGCGATATATATATATAGGAGATCACGCGGAGGTAAGCCAGAGTCCACGAGACCGTCTGTATAGGGGACCAAGCTGATGCGAATTTACAGCGTGTTACACAGACCCACGAAAATAATAATTTCGCACAACACAGGCCGGGACCTAAGGGAGATCGCAATGTGAATCAGCATATTGAAAAAAAAAACAAAAAAAAAACACCCGATCGTGTTGTCAGTAAATTTTCTTGTAAATAAAATGATCTTGCGGTTTCGCGACTCTTGTTTACTGATACGCATAAGTTCCGCAGAACGACGGAGACTGCGCCACCGTAGTTCTTTTTTTTTTTCCGATTTGCGTTTGCCTCTTCTAACGTGGGCATCTGCTTCTGGTTCATCGTCGCCCCATGGACTAGACATGCGCAGGAGGGGTACCACGAAAGGACGCTGGTGCCCCAACTCGAGGCACGGAAGCCGAGGCTTTGCTCCACTCAAGCTAACTAACTGATGCGTAGGTTCAAGTATAACGAGCGTGCCGACAAACTATATAAACGTTCCACCGCAGTGGGTTCGTACTGGAGTTCAGGAGCCTACGCGAATAATAATAATAATAATAATAATAATAATAATAATAATAATAATAGATCGCTTAATAGATATGCGCTTTAACGTCCTAAAAGCACAATATCATGGTGAGGGGCGCCCCAGCGGAGGGCTTTGGAAATGATGACCATCTGGTGTTCATTAGCGTGCATCTATAAGTCTATGGGCACATGGGCGTTTAGCACTTTGCCTCCATCGAAATGCGGCCGGGATTCGATCCCGCGACCTGCAGCCACTAGACCACCACCGCGGGCAAAGCGTGCTCCGAACACCTCTTCTTGTATATAATCAAGTTTTTCTCCTCGTCCGAAGCAAGTGCCAAGACGTAAACACCATCTGGGAAAAAAGACACCGAAACCGGTACGCAAGATACGTCTTTGAGCGACGTAAACGCGCAAAAACACTTGACGTCACGGAAACGCGCAAACGTGTGTCTGGCGCATCAGTTCCAATTATCTTTGAGTATGTATATATGGTAGAGACGCTCCCGTGTCACTGTACATACGCTGATCAGAAGAGGATTCTTGTTTGTACTCTGGTTGTGGCTTCACTACACACGATGGCGAAAATTGTGAGGCCCTCTTTTACAACAGTATTACCGCCCTACCGATGCCACTTCTAATCGACACCTTTAGGAGAACGACGGTCAGGCCGTTTTACGAACGGATGAGCCAAGCGAAGCAGTCATTCGCTGAACTTTGGCCTAGTTCTAAAGTCTATACTATAGCCATACACAGAGAGTTTTAGCGAAAAAAAAATGATCCATGTATACACAAGTGCTCGTGGGAGCAGCACGCACCATTCGGTCCCGCTCATCTTCAATGGTCATCAGCAGGCGGCCGAATTCCTTGAGCGAACCGGCTGAAAACAAGACAAAGCGCAAGTGTGAGACGCACCGACCCCAGACAAGCGGCACTTCGATCGCCGGCCGCCCAAATAACGGTCACTTCTTACGGCGACTTACATCCGTACAGAGCAGACCACTGAACGGCACAGAAAATGCGCCAGCACCTATATATAGGGTAAAGACGAGAGCCAACAATAACTTCACGCACCCTGGGTGTAGTTTAGAGAACCACGAGCACCTGTCTGCTAAGATTACGAATACGTAACTGTCGGCAGCTGTTCTTCAATGTGTTTAGTTTACGAATCAGCCGAATTGACATACGCTATTCTGGACACCACAGAAGAAATTAAATATACGCCTTAAAAAAAAAAACTTCGCAGTGGCTTAGCTCGGCCAGAATATACGTAGCAGTGTTGCGGACTGGGCACCTCCATTCCATTCCGCGGTATCGCAACTTGCCGTAATTCCAATCTTTTCAATTCCTACGAAATGGAAAAAAAAAAAAAAAACTTAGCTCATTACCTTTCCAGGAATAGCCAAGCAGGTCAATTCCATTCCAACAATTCCTCAAGGTATGAAAGGCATATCTTGATAGCTTTATCCAGCTAAGAATGATTGTAAAACATAAAGCTGATGTCATCAGATTCATAAGAGCTGTAAAACTACACTAAACACGTTACCACGGTCGAAAGATAGTAGCTTGGTGACTTATCTCGTGCAGTATAACCACACTACTAGATCCCATATAGGGGCGATTCTCTTGCTACCTATGGTATCTGAATGGTCAGCACAATATATAAAAAAAAGAAGTTAGTAAACAGTTGGTTGGCAACGCATGCATTTCTTTACTATAGCCAGCAGGTAGTAAACCTTGAAACTTTTACAATAACTAAACATGAATACTTTCTTCGTCTTTTTAACTACGTAACTACTAAGCCACATACGTTGCCAGATCTCTCGTAAACACCACCGCATATCATGCAGTAATCGTGACACTCCTAAGAAAAATTTAGACCAATCTTAATTTTGCCAATTACTCTGGAATAAAAATTTCGTGATATGTGATGACACACACATATATAGAAGGGCAGACGATGATGTGTACAAAAAGTCCATTATTTTCTAATCTCTATGGCTGCTAACTGGTAGTGATGTTCTCAAGTAGGAGCATAAATAGCGTTTTAGACTGTAACACTCTTCTACGGCCCACTTTTCACATCTGTGTATAGGCATCGTAGACCCTCCATAGTTTGCGCCGAAAACTCCAAACTGTGGGAGGCCATGTTATGGCCCCTTTAATTGCGCTTCACAGGGTAGTAAAGTTACCTAGTACTACCTTCGGTTACATAGGTGGTAAATGTTGTGACAAGCGCTTACTACCTGTAAATTAGTAGGCACCATGCACTACAGTTTTTTTTTTTCAGTGCGGGAGAAAGCATCACGCCACGCATCCCTTCTTGGCGAGCGAACTGTTATACGCGAAGCCTGCATTTCGATCGGCCATCGCGTACACCTCATCGAGACGCCTGACGCGCCGTCACGACGTCGCACGTGCATGCGTATATATATATAGCCGCAGCTGTTCCCTGTCAGTGCGAGTGCGCCTGTTGGTGAGAAAGCGTGAGCCTGGAGCGTACACAATGTACGCCTGCAGAGTAAGCTCGCTTCGGCAACGAGTACTGTGCACTGGCTGACATGTTACCGCTTTGGTCCGCGTATGAGCTATCAGTAATAAAAAAAAAAGCGACACTGTGTATCGTTCGTGAAAAATGCGGGGATCTGAACTAAATTTACGTATCGCCCCGCCGCGGTGGTCTAGTGGCTAAGGTATACTCGGCTGCTGACCCGCACGTCGCGGGTTCGAATCCCGGCTACGGCGGCTGCATTTCCGATGGAGGCGGAAATGTTGTAGGCCCGTGCGCTCATCAGATTTGGGTGCACGTTAAAGAACCTCAGGTGGTCGAAATTTCCGGAGCCCTCCACTACGGCGTCTCTCATAATCATGTGGTGGTTTTGGGACGTTAAACCCCACATAACAATCAATCAAATCAAATTTACGTATCGCCTTCAGCGTTAAATGAATACGATGCCAGTTCGTGGGAAGGAATTGACTAAATGGACCAATACTATCTATATAAGAGTGGAGCGACATAAGCCGGTCGCGTCAAATGATTTCAATTAGCCGACTGTGTTCTATGTTGATTTGATTGATATGTGGGGTTTAACGTCCCAAAACCACTATATGATTATGAGAGACGCCGTAGTGGAGGGCTCCAGAAATTTAGACCACCTGGGGTTCTTTAACGTGTACCCAAATCTGAGTACACGGGCCTACAACATTTCCGCTTCCATCGGAAATGGACTGTGTTCTATGTTGTACATGTACAAAAGGAAGCGGAACTAAGCGAGCAGGCAGTTCCCTCGTCTGCCCCAGTGTGCGGCCACGACACTGAGCCACGGCTTTGTGTGAACAGGCGACGGCGAAACAGCTGGCAAGCACAGCGTTAGTGAATAAAGTACACATACACACGTAAAGGGCGCACTAATTCTGAAACACGCTTGTTACTTCGACGAATTTTTCTGCGCTTAAGCGAAACAGGAAAACGACGTGCAGACAGGTAGAGCACGAGGGACGCGAAACTGCTTTACGCACGAGAGTTTCGCCTACGCGATCAGCGTCGAGGTCAATGTCACAGGTAAAAATCTGGTAAAAAACAATTGACGAAAGTAAAGCAGCCTGGCAATAGCGGTGAAAGCGTGAACGAAGTGCGGTGCTATAGGTTACCTGCCTTGTTTCTCTTTATTTCTTTTCCGTATTTTTTTAGTACCTGGTTATTTCTATTTCTGTCTTTGTCTCTATTTCTCTATCTTTCTCTTTTCTACATCTCTCTAGTTCTCAATTTCTTTCTTTCTTTCTATCTCCTTTTTTTCTCTCTCTCTACTTCTTCCCTCTATTTTTTTGACTGTTTCTTTCTTGTTTGTGTATGTTTTTCTCTGTATCTTCCTATCATTGTCTTATATATTTTTCTCGTCCTTTCCGTTCCTTTCTCTTTTCCGGCCCACGGCGTGTGCGAAGCAGAAGAGGAGGACAAAGAGGGCTCGTGCCGGTCCAATTTAATGACAGTTTACTCTCTGCACGGTCTAACAATCTTCTGTTAATAAAGAATGCCCTCTCTTCTCATGTGTCGAACTTTGGCGCTCTAATCTATTCCAAAATGATACAACGCGTCCAACGAAGCACATTGTTCAAGAAGTATAGCACAGAGAACGGGGGGGGGGGGGGGGTCTGAAAGCAACGTTTACGTTCTAACGCATTTCAAATTTAATAGTTTAGGAGAATATTTTGAAATACCATCTGGCAAAGCGGCGAATGCAAGCATATTACTATCAATTAGCACGCAATCGAGAAAACTACCATCAATTAAGTTACAACGTTTACACGCCTCGAGCCCACACAATGGGTTGCGAACTTCAAAGGAAGTCGTGCGGTGCAGCAGAAGCGGCGATAAATTCTGGATAACCGTGTCCATTTAACCCGGCACCCGAAATACCGGAACTCGGACGCTTCTCGCATTTCGTCTCGATCGGTATACACGCAGCGACCGAGCGCGCGAATCGAAACCGTCACCTCCGTGCCCCAGCGGCACAACAAGACCCGACAAAGGTAACAATGTCGCGTGAGGTGTAAATTAGCGCGCTCAACTTGTTCGTTTCATTAGCGACCGACCGATGTGATTGTCGTTGACTTGCTCTAAGAAGGGAGAGGGAGGCGTCACATTTCAACTTCACGAGATCACGCTGTTTACAAGGCGCTGTGCCTTTATATGAAGTATGTGTAACAACGTTTAAAAAAGATGATCGCTACGGCGCTTAACTCGGCCCTCAAATTAGGACTGGCGGGAACGGGTGTGAGGTATTCCTTTCGGTATATACTCTCTCTCTCTCTCTCTCTCTCTCACACACACACACACACACACACACACACACACACACACACACACACACACACACACACACACACACACACACACACACACACACACACCACGCGCGCGCGCGCGCGATATAGCCCTTCTACAACTTATGCGTTTGTCCTCGTTGTTACTATCTTGCATCTCTAATTATTCTTATCTTTCTCTTTCACGCAAACTCATTAATAATATTCAAGTCCGTTAGGAGAACTCTCGAGGTACAGTTCATCACAGTGTAAAGCAATTCCGCCAGCATTAATGAGGATTAACGGCCTGCAATCGCGCCCACGAATGGGCGCTTGCGCCAGCCACGATGTGTACCATCAGCGTCAAATGAAACCCGAACAGCGGCTAGCCATGGACATATCAACAGCACGCTTGTATGCACTGCAGAGCTTCCGAACGTGCACGATGCGCGCGAACCTGTCAATGGTGATAACTGGACGGTGCACACCACACAACAATCGCGAAGGTATGCCGCTGCTCGGGTTTCGTTTGACGCTGGTGGGTATACTCGTTTCCACGACGCAGGCGCCTCTGGGAAGAGAAGGGAACGACGCCTCGGCGGTGAAGACCGCGAAAGAACATGCGCGACCGCCGCCGGCTGCGCACGGGTTCCCGTATACGAGCAGCGTCGTGTCGCGGAGGATCTCGTTACCACCACCACGCGGGAGTCGGCTACTGATCGACCGGCGCATTCGTGGGCAGTGCATACGAGCTGCGGAATCGATGGCCCCCATGCGGGCAGTCCTGCTACGCGTGGGAATCGTGGCCCGGCTCTATAGCTTATGTGTTCCCTGTCGTCCCTAGTAATCATTTTCGCTGCTGTAAGCTGTACTACGACTAGTCAACTAGCTCATTGGTACGTCTTAAGGCGCTAAAGCATCAGATGGTCGCTAGAAAAAAAAAACATTTTTTTCTTCCTGCCAGTCAATTACTCTTTCACATTACCAAAATCACTGCTCATTTAGAGAGAAGACGCATAGTAAACGAGAAAACAACAACAACAACAACAACAACAACAACAACAACAACAACAACAA